GCATCCATCTCCCACCCTTCTTCGTCTGGCCCGCCAGTCTGGATCTCGGGAGAGATATTGTCCACAATAAGATTGCAGTTTCATTGCCGAATCGTTACAATAAATAATTCTTTTAAGTATATAGTATGGAGTTATTTAATTAATCTTACATTAATGAATGATGTTATACCTAATAACAGTTAAATATAAGGTGCTAATATCAGGTCGATGAAATGAAAATATTTTTAATATTATTCTGAGACTGTTGTCCCTTTAGAACAAAAGATAAGAACAGGTTAAATGCCATTGTGACTATCCTTAAATTAAGTATTTACTGAATAATAGTTAATTAAAAATAAAAATACAAATAGAAAGAGAAAGAGAGAGACATACATACATGTATACATAAAACAAACATCGGAAACTAGATAAACATAAGTAAACAGGAATAGGGTCCAGAGGTACTTAAAGAGTTATTTTAGGTACATTCCATGGTCAGTCTGATTGGGAAAGGAGCAGGTATTTAAAGAGAAGAAGTAAGAAAGAGGAAGCTGATTGTAAGTGTCGAATATCAGAAGGGTTGGAAATCCAGAGTGAGACAGCTTGGACTACAAAGGATTTGTCAAACGTAGCAGTTCAGTGAGGAGGAGGATAGAGGTTGGAAGTGCGGATCCAGTAGGACGGGATTGAATGGAGTATTTAAATTGTGGCCCGTGAAAAATATAGAAGGAAATATGTGAATTATAATGGCTTGGTATAGAAAGGTAGCAAGAAAGTACAGGCGGCGATTGGATTGATAGCCACTTCAAATCGGTATAATAGGCGTTTAAGTCTGGCTTCGAGATCTCCCGAGAGTCCACCGTACGCCATACAGCCATAGTCGAAGTGGGGAAACACAAGAAATGAAACCAGGAGTTGACTGGATTTATATGGATGGAAACAGCGTAGACGGTTGAACTGTTTCAGATTAGAGAATCTATGAATTTTGGGAGATGTGTGGTTTCTAAGAGAGGGTTTGATCGAACTTGACACCAAGGGGTTTTACGGAAGTATAGAATGAGATAGGTGAGTTGTTCAGGAGAAGATTAAGAAGTGTCGGTAAGGATTTTAGGAGTGAGGGAGATCCGATCAGAATGGCTTTCGTCTTCTTGGGGTTTAGAAGTGAGAAGCTTATAATTGTGCAGGACCAAAGATAAAACAATCTAGCACTAGTGCGATTTGGGATCCGAGTACCTAAATATAGAGGGAGAGGACCTATAAAAAACTGCTTACAGAAACTGGACAATCAATATCTTATGATATGAACGCAGGGATGTTAATGACACGTAACTCGGAACAATCCATCAGAGAGTTTCTACACAATGACTCAATAGTAGGTAAGAGCACAGGCGAATCTAAAGGGAAAGGGAGGGACTTTCGGGCTGAAGCCTTCTCCTCCCCAAAACGGTAAAATATAACCATATCTTATAAAAAAATATATATATATTAAAAGGTATCTCTTAAAGTATTATTGTTGGTGTAATTACATTTGATAGGACTTCAAGAACCACTTAAACACCATTTCATATAGGTAGTTATTTTTTTTAAATATTTATTGTTATATATGTGAAAAAAAATCTTTCGGCCTTAACCCTCCTCCCCCTCTAAAAAATTAAATTCTGGATCCGCTAGTGTTTCAGACTAAACCAACAAAGTGTATTCACCATGGAATCACCACAAACTAAATTTTACCCGCAGTCAAAGTTACCACATCTTGCGGTACCAGTGTTTTGCCTGGTAATGGTAAAATTCCTATAATTAACTGTTGCATAGCTTTTATTTATTGTTTTTTCATGATCTAGGATGTATTATAATAAACCTATTTGCTTAAGCCGCTTTTATTGATATAAAAAAAAAGAAGTAAAAAATAATGATTTTTCAATTATTTGTGATGTAAAGTAGTTATGAAACTAAGTTTTCCTCCCAAATCTCTATCATAAGAACTAATCCGTATTTATAAGTGACGAAGTAAGTATTTCTACTCCTAATATTTACGTTTAAAATAAAGAAACCTGCTGGTTGCTTCAGTTATTTTGATGAAAACCTTAATATTAGTATCAGGAACTTCAAGTTTATCTCTTATAAATCACAGTTCCATTCACAGAAAAACAGCCACTACATGAAAAACATTTTTTATAATTATTATATCTGTATTTAGGCAATTATGTTTATCATAATACGTCCCAGATCATGGAAAAACAAGAAATAAAAGCATTGAAACAGTTAACCATTTTTGCTGAAAACACCGGTAATTTTAGGTATTAAGATAAAAAATCACATGTTTTTTTTTACATAACTTAAGGTTTGACTAATATGATCTCCACTTAATCAATATGGGCTTAAAGGTTATTAAACGTTGAAGTTTTCCTTAAAGTATGGTATCTCTTTTTTTTTATTTTTATTTTTTTATCTCCAGTGAAGCGATTGAGAGAGTAGCACAGGGTTCTCCTTCAGTTCCCTCGCCTGATTGTAAATAGTGTATATGTGTTTGCATTTGCAATGCATGTGTTTTTTGCTTAGTTTTAATTTTCTTTTTTTTTTAGGTTATTTTATTTTATTATTTATTGTATATACTTTTGATTATTATTTTGCTTCTATTTATTTTATATTTTTTTGTATATATATAGTGTGAATGTTATCCTACCTCAATATAACTTATGTCCAAGAGACTGATTGTTGTAATACTCAATAAATAAATAAATAAAAAAACATTTTTTTAAAAAGATATCTTAGATTAATTTAGCCGCTCAAAATTCATCTTTAAATGGTTTAATTCAATATTCATTATTTATTTTCTTGTTTAACAAAAAAAAAAAAAGAAGGAATAAAACGATTGGTGCATAATAACCTAGAAATATGGGCAAAGCAAAAACAAAAAAAGTAATTTTTAAAAAAATTATATACAATAATTATTTTTTCGTCTTCCCATTGGAAAGTACGCTGGAACATACGTCCAATATTTTTCGATGCAGATGCAGATAAAAAAAAAAAATGGTTGAAATCATTGATTCAACCCACTGATTGTGATATTCCCCTTATAAGAACAATTTTTTCTTATTAGTAATATACATATCTCAGAAAATAATTCGATTTTCGTCTCATATATAATGATCAATAGTTTTCTTTTTCCTTTTTTTTTTGGACTAGTGACCTCTGGATGCATTGCATAACTATCGGAAATGGAGTTTTATTAATAACTCAAAGGGATCACTTCAAATGCCCTAAGTGAAAGCAAAAAGTTGTTTTGATGGCACTTAATGATCAAAGAGAAACGGTATGGTTCTTAATCTGCTAAAATATAACAGAGGACAGATTGCTAAATACCAAAGAGGAGATGGGAGGATATATTTAAGTGTAAGGTTTCCGGATATCTAGGCTAGCCATCGGGGGAGTTTATCAATGTGGCAGGGGCTACTTATCTCAACCCAAGTCCACAAATAACAAAAACAGATGATACCTTACCACTCCCCACTACATTAGCAAGACTGATTGGTCTTCCTGTCTTGTACATCCCCTGTGGTCTCACCACAATCCATATAGTCCGCCTTCGTCTTTAATGTCCTTAATTCAAAGCCTCTCTGGAACTTAGTGTTGTCTTAGAGCGAAGAAACATCTATTAACAAGTTCGTTGTATGTTGTGGTAATTAGAAATATTTAATGGTTGTTGTAAGTTCCTTGCAGTTTTCTTCGTTTAGAAATAATTCTGCAACCGCCGCATGGAGGGCAAGAGTATGGTCCTGTTGGACATAGGTAGAAAAAAAAACAAAATATAAAATTTGGAATTTTACTGCATTGTGACAAATTAATATGAGTTTTAACGTAATTGTTGCATTAATAATGATTTGATATGAAGTAGTCATCAACAGAAGGAAAATTATCTTTTCCATATTTAGAGCTGGTTTGCCTGTATTTTTTTCTTAAACTTAATGGTATGTGCTTTTAGCAGAATCAGGTACATCTCAGTGGGTCTAGGTAAAACATTGGTTTATAAAAATATATAGAATTATCGCGACGTTCCAAACAAATGTGAACAATTTAATTCCATAATCAATTTAACTAATAATAACTTCATTTAATTAATAATTAAGATTATTACATAATTAATAATTACTAGAAAATTATAGTGCTACATCAGTGTTATGTGGTAATGTAAATGTAATAATTTACAGTAAATTTGTTCGTGATAGTAAAAAAATCAATATTTTATTAATATTGCTCAATGCATCTTGTCGATTAAATGTCTTGAATTCAAATCCTCGTAAACCCTCCATTTTCTGAGTAAGTTAGAGCCGATGTCCAAGGAACCTATATACTCGTCCCAGTGTGCGATGTGAAAAAATCAAGTTATTCTTAGTTTTCGAAGAGCTTCATCTTACCAAGTACTAAAATAGTAAACTATAGACCAAGGATGTTAACATCGAAAGAATATACAAAGAAAGGAAAAATATTTTAACTTACAAAAATGATTAAAAGGAAACTTCTATAAATTGTATATAATATATAAAAACTTAAACGCCTAATGAATTGCGCAATACGTTTTGTTTTCGGAATCTCAAGAGATACGCATATTACCCAGTATGACACCAAGTTGAAGTGGCTCTATCCATCCAACCGCCGTCTGTACTATCTTTCTATACCAAGCCATCAGAACTCAGCGACCTTCCTATATTTTTCACAGCCTGCAATTTAAATATTCTATACAATCCCGTTCCACTAGATCCCGTACTTCTGACCTCTACCATCTTCTAACCGAACTGCTGAGTTTGACAAATCCTTTATGATTCAAGCCATCTCCTTCTGGAATACCATCCGATATCCGACATGTACCATCAGTTTCCTCATTTAAACCTCTCCTTTTTAAGCACCTACTCCTTCCCCTCCTTACTCGAGTTTGTGTGTTTAATAAAACAGTGTGTGTTAAAACAATAATATGATAATTATATTATTGTATTTTAATAAGCCAATTTTTTTATTTTTTCTAGTTTCTTCTACCTCCTTCAACAAGACGAAGTTTCAATCCTCAGCTTCACAGTGACGCCTTGCACTGCTCCGGTAGCATGGGACATCGTTGTGAGGAATTCGAATGAAACTGGAAAAGGTAATGTTTTGAGAATTTATCTCAACATTTCAGGTCGGTTGATATATATAATGTATTGAGGAACTGCGAGTTGGGAAATTTATTTTAAAAATCGACGAATGTATATATATATACATTCGTTGATTTTGATAATACATTCACCGAACCCGCAGTTCCTCAACACAAAAAAATAAAACGTTCTTTTTGAATCCACCAGTACAAACCCCGACAAGGCAACTTGTATCTATTTTTAAAATATATCCAAACCACTTTGGTCAGTTTTGTTTTTTCTAGTTCAGCACCAAGATCTAATTTTACTACGTTCTGGTGCGATACCTTCTGTTTTTTCCTTCCATTTTCCTGGGACTTCATTCCCGAAGATAATATTATACTGCAAGTATATCGTAATTTCTAACCACATTCCTGATTTATAGACATTCAATTTCTATTTTTTTTTTTTTTTTTTTGTTAGTAATATCCTATATTGTTTCAACTTATTTTATTTCCTATTTTATGTTCCTCTTCGTATGTATCTCTGTTAAAGTTACTTTTTGTTGTCTTGTACAATGCTAACTTACAGTAGGGCTTTGGCCTCCAACGTTGTCCCCTTCCACTCGTTCCTGCCAGCTTCATATCTTCACCATGTCTTCACTTCGCCTTCCTTCTAGTAATTGGTATAGCAGCCTTCTTGGTAGGCTACCCCCTTACATTCTTTCCCTCTTGATGAATGATACGGTATCTAGTTTGCAATACAACTCCATTAACTCATTATTTTTCCTGTATCGCCATTGTTACGATAAATTTACGTTCATTCTGAGGACCTTTCTTTCCCACGTCTTAATATATTTTCATATTCTTGAGTCAAGACCCATGTTTCACTGTTATACATCACTAGTGATTGTTCTACATATTATTAACGTGGCTTTGCGAGAGATATTTCAAAACCGGAGTGCCTTCTGGAGTGAATGCAAATCTATTTCCAGCTCCCAGCGTCTTTTGTCTCCTTTAATGCTAAATTTTGCCATAAACTGACCCTTAATGTTTAGAATGGTCAACATCATCGAAATTCTGACTACAAATTTCAACGAAAGGGTGCTTTTATCTTTCATTTTTGGAGATGAAATTCCAAATGAGTTAATGCATTTGGTCTTCTCCATTGATACGAAGACCAAGGTTACGAATAGCGTCCCAGAATTATTGAAAAGCTCCAGATACGTGTTTGAGGTTCTGCCTGTGATGACTACATCATCTGTATAGACTATGTTAATTTACTCAAGATTATTCTGACAGGATTCATCCTCGTGGATCTCAATGCAATTTCCAAATCTTGGGTATGCAAATTCGAGGACATAAAATCACCATGTCAGAGACCAATTGACACACCACTAGCTCCAGAAAAGTCCTCCTGTAGCCTTGCTAGGAACTCCTTGCTTGATAAGATCATCTTTGCATGCTGTTCTAGTTGTGCTAGTCCCAAAAATCGCAAAATTTTTAGCATTTCTCGGTCTGTTCGACCGTAGGCCTCCTTAAAATCCTCAAATATGTGTTATAGGTCGATATTATACTCATCCACTTGTACATTATTCTCGACGATTGTAGATCTTCCAGGTCTGAAACATAGGGATATCTTGTTGACCGAAACAATGCCCCGTTTTTTTTTTTTTAATCTAGCTTCCAAGAATCGTCTCCTGGATTAAACTCAACAGTTAATACATAATTGTTATTGTGGATACCATTACAGCAGCGTCGAAACTATCTGTAATCATTGGTTGATTCCTGCAAAATGCAAATATAACCTATCATAATTTTTAAGGAGGGAGATGGTCCGGGATGGCAGACATAAATAGTGGAAAACTATTTTATTCCAAGCCAACGTTTCGACCGGACTATGCAGGTCATCTTCAGGGAGGTGTGTTCAGCAAGGAGTTTCACTTAGGACTGTTTCAGTATGACCCCCACCCCGGACCATTTCCTTCCTTAATAATACAGCGCTCAACTATTAAGTACTCACTACAATAATTTTTAATTTTAATTAATTTTTCCCCTTGTTGCTCAAAGCAAAACGGTATTGTCGTAGTGGAGGAGGCGGACGGGGAAGTTGCTCGGCCGTCCGACGAAGCACCTAGGGTGAGAGTGCTGTCTCCTGCCTACAAGGGGCTTTACACCGTTCAGCTGATGGTCCAAGAGGAGTCCTGGGTCCAGATGTACGTCACCTACCTCAGCCACCCCAGTCAGCTTAGGCCCGTCTCCAGGCTCCATCTCGTCAACAGGAGGACTCAGGGTCAAGTCTTCATCAGGTGGCAGCAGACGTGAGTATCCTCTGATCAACTTGTTTTAACGTCATAACACGCCGGAACGTTAGGATGTTCGTTAATAGAATTTATCGAGAAGGTAGACCCCACCAAAAATAATTGAACTAACAAGGACAACCGAACCCAAAGTGTGGCCGATTGTAGATTATGATGAGAAATGTGTTTTTACCTTTAGGTAAGATTCTAAGAAAAAAAAAATAGAAATAATTTTATGCTGTGATGTTCTAAAGCTGTTGTATTTATGTTTTATGTATTTTTCAGTTAGTAATGTGATGTGAAATTCTGGTCCCTAAGTGTTTGGATACAAAGTTGATATTGTGGTCCATTTTTATATAATTTGACCATTTGACCTCCCGGGTCTATAATTCGTTTTACTTTTTTCTATTAGGTTAAAAAAATATTGTTATATTTTTTTTTTCAAAAGTTTGGAATGGTGAAATTAAAATAAATCTATCTTAACCACATATCTCAATGTAAATGTAAAACAAAACGTAACTAGCATTACTGTCAACAATGAGAAGATGCGAAGTTCTTTATGCTTTGATGTGAAACGATCTGTGTCAATTAAAATGTAATCATGAGGAATTTCATTGTTATATAATGGTATTTTGAATCATAGGTACCGGTTTTAGTAATCTTAAATAAATTGGGTGTAAAGTAGGAAAGTAGGCTTTTCCCCAAAATTTAGTGAAGTCGTAATGAGCACAGGCGGATCTACTGGGAGAGGAGGGGTTTCGAGCTGAAGCCTCCCTCCAAAATGGTAAAATGTAACCATGTTTTATAGAAAAAATATTAAAAAATAAGTATTATTGTTCTTGTAATTACATTTAATAGGACTTCAAGAAGCACTTAAAACACCATTTCATATTGGTAGTTAGTATCTTTCTCTCTTTTTTTTTTGAAAAATAGTTATCGTTATGTATATGAAAAAAAAAATCTTTCGGGCTGAAGCTCTCCCAAAATTAAATCCTGGATCCGCTAGTGGTAAGGAGTATTAATGTCTGTTACGTACTGCACTATTAATTTAATGTGATGAGAAAGTGCATAAAATCTTTGTTTGTGATATTCGCTATTAGTCCGTGAATAATCTTGAGATAAAACATAGCTGGCTGGATCCATCAATTTGAAAACTTCCCAGAATATTAGTCTACTTTACTTGTTTAAGGATAGTGCCCTAGAAATTAATAAATGTATGACTGCTGGATATGATATATAAATAATAGTGGCCTTGTTATGATACAAATATATAAATACGTAAGTCCTTGGTGGTCTGTCTTCGACTTTTTGTTTTCCAGTTTGTTGCACGTCGTGTGTTATCTTTGTTTATTTTGTCTATCCGCCTGGTGTTTAGTTGTCCACGTGTTCTCTTGCTGACTATCTCTTGCGTGTGCGGAACGTCCTAACAAATCGCTTGGAGTTACACTTCTCAAAGGCGTTATAAATATCACTTGAACATATTAAATTATTCCTATAAATATGGATACAAAATAATTTTTAAAGAAATCATTGTGTTAGATAAGCTTTTATAATTACTCTATTGCATCATAAAGACAACTGTCTAGAATATATAAAATATATCGATTTATATTCTATTTTATTTATATATATTATGCTTTATAGTGCGAATGTTTGTGTGGTTCCATGACCAAGCTTTGAAATAGATTGAACTGATAAAGGGCACGCCATCTTTGTACGACTGTACATACATTCCTTATGTGAACTTTTTGGTTGTTCATGATCATTTCGAACTCTGGAATCCATTACGGTATCTTGACTGCCAAAGCTTTGTCCGAGAACCTTGACCGTGTATAACGGCCTTAATAAAACCATAGCGGCAATCACTAACGACGCACTTTTCTAATTTTTTGGGGAGGCTTTTGTTGGTAAAATAGGCGCATGGACAATGGATCCTTCTTAGAAATTTCGTATATATTTCCTGAAAATTATAATCTCTCCCCACTCAACTGACGATCCCTCATGAAAAGATAGTACGCAAAATAATTCAATAGATAATTAGGTAAAAAAAAAGTTCTCCTTTCTTGTTGGGCCTATAAGGAAGACTTGGAGGAGAGTGGAAGAGGTAAAAAAGAAGACAAGCGTAGGCGCATACAGGGCCCCGCCGGACGGAACACAATGAGGTTTTGACCGTCAACTGAAAGGAAGTTTTTGCCCAGGCTATTACCAACCGCTTTGGGTTTGAGCCGAGTTTACTGCCAGGCGAATCTGTATAATTAAACCAAGGTCCAAGCATAAATTTAAGGTTGAGGACCAAGTCCGTCCTCGGGGATATAACAAGTCACTCTTTACACTCCACGTATTTTACATTACCCCTCGTGCCCGAAGCTCGGGATCGTTAAGAGTTTTTTGCTCATATGCGTAGATTATTTACAAGTCAAAATACAAACATAAAGAATGAGAATAATAACAAATGGAAATGACTTTCCAGAATGGCAAGTCCACAAAGTCCTTATTGCAAGACGCTGAATGATAGATAGATAGAAAATAACGTTATTATGGGACACAGTCCCTTGAGAATAACAAAATAGAACAAAATTAAAAGATTACATCTGGCCAAAATAAAATCAATCGAAAAAAAGAAATAATGTAAAGAAAATATAAGGTAAACATTCTATATACAAAACAAACGAAACTATATACAAAACCATTAACACTATGACAAGACACTTAAAGCTATTTGCACTTATAGACCAGTATCTTCTAAAAGCACTTCTAAAAAAACAATAAAGAATTACAAAATAAAAATATATTAAATTCTTTATTAAAACAAGCTTTGTGTTTCTGTTGAGAAACACAAATATGACAATATTAAGTGAGAGAATATGAGAATATTACAATATGACAATATTAAGAATATGACAATATTAAGTGCCTGCTTAATATATAAATACATTATCATTTAGCATTGATATTTGACAATGAATGGCATGAAACAAATGTATGTTTTCAAATGGTTAGCAAAAATATCTGACTGTTTTTGGGATAGAAATTGGAATAGGAGGGTTTTGAATGTGGATATGGATGAGGAATGTCGAATTTTGATAGGGAGAGAATTCCAGAAATTGACAGATCGAGCAATAAAGGAGTTTTGGAATGAAGCAGATCTGTGGGAAGGCATGTGAAGGTAAGAAGGTCGAGATCTTGTGGACAGGGAATGTACTGAGTTTTTGAACTGGAGAAGGTTGTAGGCGTAAGAAGGACGATGGTTTTTGATGATTTGATAGAGGAACGTACCTAGGAAATATTGTCTTCGGAAGGAGGGGAAAAGCCATTTTAACTCAGCGTAGTGGTGAGAGACATGGGAGTATCTATAAATCGTAAATACTCATTTGCTTTTCACTTGCATCATAAGATAATTTGATCACAAAATCGAGAAAAAATGTGGCCTAGAAAAATATTGAGACGTTTGGCCTATACAACCTCGTTATTTTGACATTTTGGGGGTGTAGGTCACGCCAAACAGCTTAATATTTATAAAGGCCACCTTTTTTATCGATTTTGTGATCAATTTATCTTACGATGCAAGAAGAAAGCAAATGGGTATTTACGAGTATTTAGTACCTAATTAAATAGAAAAAATGTACCAATCTCCAGATAGTAAACGCCCCAGTTCCGAGAATTATCGTAAATAAAATATTTCTAGATTACGATGAGATGAGGCTATTTACGAAGTTCCAGGCGGATGTTAATAATTTGATAAAAAGTGGCCAGTATCACGAACTAATAAATATGAATTTGTTTTCATTTTAAATTTAACGTTACCTACACTAGTCGTCCGAGAACAACGCGTTCTAGTGTCAATATTAAAGCAAGTGGCCGCAAGACTTCCAATATTTTAAAAATATTTCACAATGAAAACCCGATAAACTATCAGCTGTTGACAAAGAAAAATAAAAAAAATATTTTTTTTATATTTATACTTTTATACTGTGTTTTATATTAAATTTTAATCTTGCGTTAATTTTAGGACACCCTAAAGTATGCAGGTGTGACTTTTAGTTTTTGAGATATTTGAATCCACAAGTAAAAACATTTAAATTAGTAGACTTAATCCGAGTGTTAACACTTCGGAAATCCGTCGGATCAATCTAATTCACTATCTACAAAAAAGTGCAAAACGTTCCAAAAGATCCCAAATGCTTCAATCACACATCATAAATCTTGAAGAATGGTGTCAAAACTGGAGAATTAAAATCAAAACAGAACCCCAATAAATCCCACCAAATTACCTTTACCCTTCGTCGTAAACCAATGACTTCCTGTCCTACAGTTTGCTTTAACTATACTCCACTTATACCTGTTGAACAAATCCGCTACCTAGGACTCCACCTTTACAAACGACTAACTTGGAATCATACTAGACTGAAACGACGTTTCCGATTACTTACTTCGATTACAGTACTTACTAGACAAACACTCTAAACTTCCAATTAATTACAAAAGACTCGTATACTACGTATCGTATAATAAGGCCTATTTGGACTTACGGAGTTGAGCTATGGGGCTCCACTACACCATCGAATTCCTTTCGTATCTAATCCTTACAATCCAAAATCCTGCGTAAAATCTTCAATGCTCTCTACTTTGTTACAAATAAAACCATCCATAATGACCTTAATGTTCCTTAGGTTTCAGATCTGGCCCAATCCAGATACCTATCCTTCCATAATAAACTTCAGAATCATCCCAACCCTCTCGTTTCTAACCTTGCTTCCTCTTCAATTCCTGATAAGTCTCCAAGGCGTCTGAAAAGAAGATGGCCCCGTGATCTCCTAATGTAGACATATCATTAGAGTGCTACCATTGGGTAGTTACTCAGCAAGTGTTTTCATGTCATTATATCCATATGTTCAAATTTATCTTAATTTGAAATAATATTAATTAAGAAATAATTTTAAAAAAAATTAAGTTTTCTTTAAATTTTCAATGATGATTAGGATCTAGTTTTAGTAAAAACGAATGGACAATGGATTTGGAAATGTTTTGCCACATATCGGCTGACTGCTTGCAGAAGGTTCCCTTGAAACCGTACATTGAGTATAGTCCTCATAAGGAAACGCAAGCTTCAAGGCTAGACTTGTACTAGGTTGGCACGAAGGGAAGCCGGCTCCTGTAAACAAACAGAGTGTAGTTCGCTGATCCACCATAATACGTGACAAACGGACTCCAAACAAACACCAGCTCTCGCTGGACAGTTCTATTTAGGACCTCGGGCTATTTAAAGGAATCGCTTCTACAATCCGATCGCCAGCTCTTTAGATCCTCTATTATACAATCTGGTCTTCTGGTAGCAAATAATATAACAATACCTGTATAATTATTTTATCGTGTATATAAAAAATTATGTGGATCACCTAAGTGGGGTGATCAGATAAAATATTTAAAAATAAATAAGTATATTTATTTTTTTCAACGTTTCGGTGTGAGAAACTATTAACATTAGAAAATCAAATGAAAAAATAATATGTAGATGAAAGATATAGTCTAAAAAATGTAGGTAGAATAAACTTAAGGTAAAATAAAGTAGAATAATAACAGTAATAGATAACTAAGAAATAAATAATAGTAACGGTAAAAAAGTACGGACTAATGAAATAAACAAAATCAAAATAAGAAATGAAAAATGTTAATCTTAGAATAAAATGTAAAACAGAGACAAGGAATATGCTGTTATATAAGAAAATAATAGATATGAATAGAAAATTGAGATATTGTAAAACCTATCAAAATATACTGAATACGTATAAGAAATTATTCTGTTGTTTTTTTTCTTAGTCCTGATGAAGGCCTGAACTTTGGACCGAAACGTTGGAAAAAGATGTAGAGATGGTTGGCATTGATGCATGATGCATTGACCTTGATATAATATGAGAAGGAGTTGGTCGGAGGGTGCGGTCAAATAAATACTAAATTTTTAAAAAATAGTATTTTAAATTGTTTCGCCGAAGTTTCGACCCACCTTGCAGGTCTTCATCAGAGCGTTTCATCAGGCACTGCAGGAGGCAGTTGATAGACTTCCTGCAGTGCCTGATGCAACGCTCTGATGAAGACCTGCAAGGTAGGTCAAAACAATTAAAAATACTATTTTTTAAAAATTTAGTATTTATTTGACCGCACTCCCTGACCAACTTCTTCTAATAAAAGTTATAACATATTTGCAGTAATTAAAATAATAATAACATGTAAACAGCTAAAATAAAATCTTCTTTAGCATAATTATAGTTGTAAGGGGGAGAAATAATGTATATACATAAATATGTGTATTTAATATTTCATTCGTATAAGCGAAATATCTTTTCTTTTAACTACCAGGTTTCTCAACATACGTATTTTTTTATTTTGACTGATCACCCCAATCATTCTCTTCAATTATCCACTACAGTCAACCATCAACTCACAATCATATATATTTCAAACACAATTAAAAAAAAAAGTAGGTTTCTTAGTTCAAAAACAATTCGATTATATATTTTAAAAAATCTGGATCTATGGGCACAACTTCACACGACTGGTGAAACCTCGCAACATTATTTTGGTTGGCAAAGCTTTTACTTTCAATATTTTTTACGCCTTTTACTTTCAACTATTTCTAAAGAATAAACATAAGTTAGGGGTAGGAAGTAGCGCAAGCCAAGTTAAGATATATAAAATAACGGTATAAAAGTTAGAAAAGTATGAATAAAATAATAACAGTAACAGAGATCTATGAAATAAATAATAACGGCAACAAAGTAGAGACTAATGAAACAAACATAAACAAAATAAGGTAACATGATAAATGAAAAATGAATTCATAACGAAATGGAATGGAATGTATAAGATAAACGTAATTATAAAAATAAATGGAGTGACATAGATGCTAAAATATGATGTCCAAGTATGTTAAAAGCAAGTATGCCGAACAAAACCGGTACAACCAATTGTACACAAGGGAAAAGTGTGTAATGTTTTAGTTATTCGCAAATAAAGTATCTTTTCTTTCATAACTTGTTTGCCTGAATTTTGGGTGCGATTGGACTAGTTTGCCCGCCTGAAGGAGAAGGAAACCTTCAAAATTGTTGGTTCAATCTTGGGATTTGATGAAGAATTAACGATGATATGGCTTGCCGATCAAAAACAACATCGATAAATAATATAAACTCCACCTTTTTCGATCATAGAGAAATCAAGTCGACGGAATGAGACATGTATTCAATGACAGTACTACAATTAATATAAGGTTGTCTGGATGCGAACCCTATGCCTTGCATTATCTCGAAAAAAGTACGTTTTTGACTTAAAAACGCAGGGGTCTTGCTGTATGTATCAAAATCTTTAAAGCACGATTTGTCCCGTATCGATCTACAGACTTATCACCGTTCCAGTATTGAAGTCTAGCAAAATGTTTGTATCGACTTTATTTATTTTAGAAAGAAAAACCAAAGTGGAGAATACGATTCGCCAAACCGCCGTGATATTATGAATCCAATGGTACCCCATTCATGGTATTTGAGCATGATAGGAGCTTTTATTTGGCACATATATTACTGTAATAATATATGTGGGGATGGGGATAATGATATATCTTTTTTTAGCATAATTATAGATGTAATGGAGAAAAAATAATATGTAGACGTGTGTGTATTTAATATTTCATTCGTATAAGCGAAATATCTTTTCTTTTAACTACCTGGTTTCTCAACCATACGTTTTTTCCGAAGACGGAAATGCCAGTCAGGAAAAAAGTATATAACACAATAGTGGCATTCATCTGACCTTGAGTTTGTGATTTTGTCACCCGACTCTTCTTTAACCTCCGCCGTGCCACCTCAGCGATGTCTGTCTGCTTGTGTCGATGAAATGACACATCAAATTTCTGTCTTGGAGGTAATTCAGAACGTCTGTATGGTAGCGAACAGGATATTCTCAATAAAAGAATGAGCTCGAAGTCAGTTTACCTCCAAAAGAAATTAGGACAATCCGTTTGTTTCGGTTACGTAATGTAAATCTAACGCGATGTCGTTGGAGTGATCATAAACAGTGATTCCTTAAGCTATAATACTAGACTTGAAAGATATGAGAACACATGATTATAGAACAGATATAACACAACTCATATCAACACTACAAAAAAATAATCAGATGAGTCGTTTATTTTCAAGGTGAATCCTACCATTAATTTTTTTTTTTTAATAGAACGTGAAAAACTATATTTTCTATTCCGGTTGTGGAATCAAACCAAGTATTTTTTATGATAGTGGAGTAATAGTTGACTGTGGTGGATGTAACAAAGAGGAATTGGTTCGAGTTTTTACCTACGTTTCGGCTCGAAATTCAGGCCTTCATCAGGGCTAAGAAAAGACGAGATAACAATAAACATGATAAACTAGTAAGCAGTTAGTAGTGAGTAAGTAGCTAGTTACTAGCTTCTCAGACCTATTGTTATCTTGTCTTTTCTCAGTACTGATGAAGGAATGAACTTTGGGCAGAAACTTCGGCAAAAATAAATATAATTTATTTATGAAGAGAAGAATAGTTGGGGTGCTCAGTCAAAAAGGAAGGCAAAAAATAAATTATAATATTTATTTTTTACATATGCCGACGTTTAGACCTGATGATTTTGATATTGATTGACTGATGATTTTCTTAGCCCTGATGAAGGCCTGAACTTCAGGTCGAAACGTCGGCATATGTAAAAAATAAAAATTATAATTTATTTTTTGCCTTCCTTTTTGACTGAGCACCCCAAATATTCTTCTCTTCATTATCCACGACAGTCAACCAATTACCAATTATAATTTATTTATTATTTCTTTATTACTTGTGACTGCACACCCCAATCAACTCGTCTTCACTAGTATTTTGTTAGTAAATAAATTGAGAAATGCTTAATTTTAGCACATATTTCTGAAAATTTCAGATTATATCAATTGTCATTAAACAATTGAAGTTGGTTGTGGTGTTCAATTAAAAATAAACAAATTAAAAATAAATTTGCCGACGTTTCGGCCCAAAGTTCAGGCCTTCATAAGGGTAATTAAAAGGTAAGGGTAATTCATAAGACGGTAATTAAAAAATATTGAATATTGAATGGGGTCACTTCTGTTAAGAATCAAACTTCAAGGTGGATTTAAAAAAAAAAAAAAAGAGGGGGGAGAGGTAGGTGTTAAAATCATGGTCACTTCGGAAAAAATCTATTCAAATATAGTTTGGATTTTACTCTCAAGTCGGTTTTGTACCATTTCATATAGCACTCTACATCTATATAATAACTGAACAATAGCTAACAACAATCGTGTGAATCAATGGCGCCGTTATTAAGTTATCACAATTTCTGTGTTATCGACAAAATTTTGAATCCAGAGTAGGCAAAAATTTCGTCAGAAAATTCTAAATTTTCGGTTGATCTAAACAATTTTTTTTAAAGGTTTTTCCGAATTGCGAAAAATGATTATCAACTCTCCCTAGAAAATGTTTACTCACACATTACTACGTCGGTTTGTCTAAATTGTTCCCATCATATTGTAGCTATCTGTCAAATATAATATTTATTCGAAATCGGACTGGTATGTAGAGGAAATATATCCAAACTATAACAGTTTTGGTAGTTCATACAATGCTACTAACTCTATACAATTTTTTTCTAAAACATACCTTTTTTCATCTTGAATGTGCGATAAGTTATAGCCAGATTTAATTTGATTGGCTGTACACGACATTATGTAATTATTTGAATTGCTTAATTTTGTACACTATGTATTTATTTTGTATATAATGAATGACAAGACAATGTATTTTTGCAGGACAGTGGATCCCGACGAGACGGAATTCGTGATAGTGGTCCATCGCGGACAAGACGCCTTGCAGAGCCTGTGCAAGGCGGGAGGAGAGCTGTTCGGGGTCCAGAGGCCCAAGGAGTGGACCCCGCCCCCCGGGATAGGATCCGGGGGGCCCCGCCCGCCCCATCGCGGTGACATAGTCGTGAGTATCTACAATAATACTTGTTGCAAAAAATGGTTACATGTTCTTCATATTGAAACAAAATGTCTGAATGACAGAGTGTACTGAAACAAACCAACGAACTCACAAAAGTTAACTCTTTAGTTTAGTCCAGATTACTCTATTCACAGAATGTACGGTTCAAACGTGAAAGAAGAATCTTTAATTTGATTGGTTTAAGAACAAGAGGTCTATTTATTTTGTCTTCATAAGATTTTAAGCCAGCGATGGAAGCTCGGGAAATACTAGCGACAGAATATCGAAGTTCAGTAAAGTAAGTGAACTTTCATGTATGGGAGTCGAACTACTGGCACTTTATACCACGGTGTGATGTGGATTGCTGCGTTTAACCTACAAATCAGATTAAGTGATTGTTCAATATTACTTAATCAAAATAGAGTTGTTTTTTATTTATTTTAGGTTTTTTTTTCTTTCGTAAATTGAAGTTTCCCTCAGCCAAACTTCTCACTCATTCAGTTCTTCCACTTTTCTCTGTCCAAAACTTTCTTCTCCGTCAGCCCTCGGTCCGCCATACTCTCAGCCAAAATATCTCGACCTCCCATTCAAATACCGTTTTGGGTAGCCGTTCGCTATTCATTCTTTTCATATGTCCATACCATTGTAATTATATTTCTTCCATTATTTCTAGTTTATTATTCATAACTTTTATCCTTTCTCGAATGATCTCGTTTCTCATTCTTTCACTCTCAGTCCTTGAGACGGTGGCCGACCTCATCCAAAATACTATCACCACAGCTAGAAATCTTTAACTGTGTGATTTCTCGAGCGGCCACGTTTTCAAACTATAGAGGTGGAATATAAAGAAAAACGAAGTATTACTTGAATTTGTTCATTTCACTTATGATTCTTTTGTTTAAATAGAATTATTTAGTTAGGCCTCACTAACACTGCAACATCACTTACTTAAATTACAAGATTGGTTCACACTATGGAAAATTCGACTTAATCATGACAAATCCAAACATTCAACATTTACTCTTCGAAAAAACACCTGCCATCCAGTTTATATTGACAACAATCAAATTCCTCAAACGGACACGGTTCTTTACCTTGGACTCACCTTCGACAGAAGGATGACATGTGGTCCGCATGTTAAAATGAAACGTAAGACACTTAACAAACTACTTTACTCTCTTTTTGCCAAATCTTCAAAACTAAAACTAAAACAGAAACTGAATACATATACATACTTACTTAAGCCCTTATGGACATACTCATCACAAATGTATATATGTCATCGCTAAAAAGACCCACCTACATAAACTTCAAACCTTCCAATCAAAATTATTGGGACTCATAACAAAAGCACCATGGTACTTGACTAACAAAACTCTACATACTGACCTCCACCTTCCAATATTTGACTAATATATAACGACCCTCTACTAACGATTTTAAACAGACATCACAATAGATTAATAAGAGATATGGCCACAGCTGACATACCCCAGAACATGAGGAGAAGACTAAAAAGGCGTTTGATGAAGGATCTCCTTCCTTAGACAACCTAAGTAATTGGAACAAGTTAGGGAAGAAGTACTGCTGAGTGCTTTCCTTCCACATGCCTGTCATGTCATTATATCATGTATCGCCATCACATTTGCTGATTGTCAATAATAAGTTGACAGGCGCAATTACATATTTTATAGAAAAAAAAAATATAATTATTAGTGTGAGTGAAAACGTTCTATTTGTCTGCGAGTTTTTGAGTGGGAGTACAAACGCATTTTTAGTTATTGACACCTTTCTCAAGAAATTTCAATTCCATGTTTCTAACTCAATAAAGGCTTAGTTCCGTACCCCATGTACACCGGAAGTTCAGCGTGAAATTTCCCTTTAAGAATTCCTAGTCACTGGTTTTTCCAAACCAATATTTCGAACCCATTCTGTGATTTGAAACATGAAATCTTGTTTAGAGGTTAAAATGTACTCCAAATTGGAGGAACTTCATTTGTGAGAGGGGGAGAGGGTAAAGTTAAGTTAGAATAATATATTGGATGACGTAAGAAAAAACTAGGAATAACATGACTTAGGAATGGCTTTTCTGATAATGAAAACAAAAAGTTCTTTCTTGAAGTTGGAGACAAAAACGCAACGTACCTCTCTAGATTTACAGTCCTTCTTCTTCTTGAGCATAGGAGTATTTATAGCGATTAAGTTATTTATGTACCTTTTACTAATAAAATATAAAATTGTAATAAATGATGGGACTGCGGGTGTGTGTTTGAGATTCATCGGGTTGGGAATAGAACGAGCTGGGTGGTGCGGGGTTTGGAAGCCAAGAAGCGGTACCACATCGAAGTGTTCGCCGTCAACTCTGCGACCAACTTCAGCTACAGGTACGCCGTGGCCTCCAACGTCACTTACCGGAGGCCCAAACCTCTTCCGCTCCAGGACCGCAAGCAGGCCATAGCGGAACTGAGGAGGTCGGAACCCAGGGCAGCCTTCAGGTTCAAGGTAGAGTATCCCTTTTTTTTAGTTACATCTTCTTTAAACATTTTAATATTAAACTAGTCGAGAAAAAAATAAAACTATTTAATGAATGAATTTTTTGTGTTCCCAAATTTCCAATTTTTTGGAATGCAATCTGTTAACGTCGCATACGCTTATATCTTTATATTTTTTTTCATTATTATTTTTTCTCACCATCCCTTTTTTAATGTTGATTTATAAATGTTTATTGATATTTTCTTTGTAAATGTTTGAAAAACAATTGTCCCAGAAGTGTATTTAATTTTATAGCATTTATATATTTAGGTTTATTCGCTATGTATTATCGCATTTATATAAACACCAGCCCGGCAATAATGCCCGTTCTTGGGGATTAAGATGATGCCATAATACTGCCGACAGTTCTGCGCATGCGCTTGATTTGAATACCCACATTTCACGTCGTGTCCCACAGTTTTACTATTTTTTAGTAGAATAAGTGCTCAGTTTTACTTTTTTTAAAAAAAACTAGTTAAGCAGACATCAAAACAACAACAATGGACTAACACCACAGTGAGTAGTGTTGTTATTTACTGTGTACTATTACAGACAGTGAATTTAGTGATTTAGCGTCTATAGGCTTAATCTCTATAGCCATAACACCTGACGGCTCCCCTCTCCAGTTGTGGCCCTGCCACGTAACTGGCTGGTTCTCAGCCGGCGGTTCATCCATTGTAATAACACGCAGACGTAGTTTTATTTATTTATTTATTTATTTATTTTTTTCCCCTTTCTTTTTTTTTTTTATATGCGATATTACCACCAAGTAATGTCAACTAAGAGGTCCCATTCAGTTGGCTCTACCCCACGTAATTCACCGCCTAAACAGAAAACACGTCGTAGTAAGCGATTAACACCCCCCGGAACTCCTCCAGCGAACACTCAAGTATCTGTGTCTCAACCACTGCCAAGTACGTCTTCACAAGAAATGGAATCTCCATTTTTTACACCTAATCCATACCAGGTGCTTGAAAATGACAGGGAAGAAATGGAAGATGCACCTATACCTCGAGAACCACGCCCACCTCCTATCTTTGTCAAAAATTTGAGAAATTTCCAGTTGTTGTGTACTCAACTTAATAAAATCTGCCCAGGTAGCTATACATGCCTAAACAGAATAAATGATACAAAAATAATACCGGCCACACCTGAAGCGTACCGAAAAATCGTAAAATATTTAACAGACACAAATGCGGACTTTCACACATACCAGTTGAAACAGAAAAGAGCACTACGAGTTGTAATAAGAAATTTACACTCCTCAACCCCAATAGAAGTGATTAAAGAAGAGTTAACGGCGTTAGGGTTCAAAATACGTCAGATAACCAATGTTTTAAAAGAAAATAAAGAACAACCAGGTGTAAAGAATAAAATCCTATTTCCCTTATTTTTCGTCGATCTAGAGCCATCGCCTGGGATCGAAAAAAATATACGATGTGAATAGAATTTTCTACACCAGCGTAAAGGTCGAAAAACCGTACCCAAAAAGAGAGTTCATCCAGTGCCATAATTGCCAAGCATATGGCCACACCAAGTCTTATTGCCACCACTTACCACGCTGCGTGAAATGTGGTAAAACACACAAGTCTGGCGAGTGTAATAAACCAATTACAGAACCAGCAGTCTGTGCCCTATGCTTGGAAGGCCATCCAGCCAACTACAAAGGCTGCCAAATTTATAAAAATCTTAAAGCGAGATATATGAAACCCAGGGACCCTGATGATACACCTAAACCAAGAAGAGGACCCGCTAAAATTGTGAACTCTAAGGTTTCTTTTGCCAAGCTACTTGGGGGTAGACACCCGACTAATGAATGTGAGGCCCTGCCGCAAGAACAAACTCAACCCCAATCTCAATATCCTATCCCACCTAATGTACCTAATCAACAACAACCTCACCAACATCAAATCCAATATGTTCCTCCACCGCCTAATGCTACAGATCTAACCAGCTTATTGACATCCTTTCTTTCAGAATTTAAATCCCTTGTTACCCCACTGATATCACTTCTCACTAACCTAGTATCTCACCTTATCCCTCCTTTAAAAAATCCTTAAATGACATCCATCAAACCCATATCCATTCTCCTTTGGAATGCGAATGGTGTTAGAAATCACATACACGAACTAACAGCCTTACTACAAGACAAGAACGTAGACGTAGCCCTAATAACGGAAACTCGACTGACTAAAAAACAGCTCCTAAAAATACCACAATACATAACTTACCGTACCGACCATCCTGACGGTAGAGCACATGCCGGTACTGCAGTCATTGTGCACCAATCCCTCTCCCATCACCTACTCCCACTGCCTACACACGATTTCCTACAATCCACCGCAGTCGTAATCAAAACCTTCTCCTTTCCTATTACCGTTGCATCAGCGTATTGCCCTCCAAACCAATCCATCTCCAATATCCAATTTAGTTCCTTCCTCATTTCCTTAGGACATCATTTCATCTTGGGTGCAGACTTAAACGCCAAACATCAACAATGGGGTTCAAGAACCACGAATTCTCGTGGTCGAACATTGCTGTCTGTACTCAATTCCCAAAATTTTACCCTTCTTCCACCCAACTCACCTACCTACTGGCCCACTGATCCTAACCGTAATCCCGATATCCTCGATTTCTTTATCCATAATGGTTTAGGTGCTCTCAACCATTCCGTTGCCCGTCTTGACGAGCTTTCCTCAGACCACAGCCCATTAATACTCCAAGTATCACTAGCTCCTATTCCTAAACCCTCTCCTCCGTCCTTCATCAGAGGCCCAGTTAACTGGAAACTCTTTCATCAAATCCTCTCCGATAAAATTGACCTCAGAGTAACCCTGAAAACCTCTGAAGACCTGGACAATGCAGTACATTCCTTCACTACCAAAATTCAAGAAGCAGTCTGGACTGCTTCCTCCCCTGATCACTCCTCAAAAATCCTTAAGAAACATAATTTACCTCAACACCTCCTTGACCTAATCCACATAAAACGCCGTGCCAGATTATTATGGCAACGTACCAGACATCCAGCCGACCGCCACTCCTACAATTATCACTGTAAAAAATTAAAAAAAGAATTAGCCACCTTCAGATCCCAATCATTCAATTCCTACCTCACCACACTCTCTGCTCATGATAATTCCCTTTGGAATATCACCAGAAAAATCCTCAAATCCCATCATATTTCCCACCCTCTTCGACGAGATGATGGCTCCTGGGCAGCATCTGATGAAGATAAAGCCGAGGAATTTGCCAAACACCTTTCCTATACTTTCGCTCCTCATCCAGAATCCCATCCCAGCCACACAGTAAAAGTAGAAGAATCCCTCTCAATACCAATCCCACTCTCCTTACCACCTAAAGCTGTTAATCCCTCTGAGGTCAAATACCTTTTACGGAAAATCACACCTCGCAAATCTACAGGATATGACCTTCAAACCCCACAGATCCTTCGACAACTTCCATCTAAAGCCATCATATTTCTTACATATATATACAATTGCATCCTACGAACTACCCACTTCCCTCTTTTATGGAAACATTCCACCATCGTCCTCTTCTTGAAACCAGGCAAACCTTCCAACAATACAGCATCCTATAGACCAATTAGCCTACTCCCAATCCTCTCAAAAATTTTTGAAAAGATCCTACTGAAACGAATCCTACCTATAATTGAATCCTATAATCTTCCTACTCATCAATTCGGATTTCGTTCCCAACATTCCACTGTCCAGCAAGGACTCCGAGTTGTTGACCATATATCCTCAACCCTAGAAAGCAAGCAGTATTGCTCGGGTGCATTTCTGGACATAGCGCAAGCTTTTGACCGGGTATGGCACGCCGGATTACTCTTCAAGCTTAAAATCCATCTACCACAGTCCTTATACCTAGTACTCCGATCCTATCTTTCCGACCGCTCCTTCCGAGTTCGCTGTGGCACCGAATTCTCCGACTGTTACTCAATTGAGGCTGGCGTTCCTCAAGGCAGCGTCTTGGGCCCCATCCTTTACATTCTCTTTACCGCTGATATTCCTGTCCATCCCGATACCCTCCTGGCAACTTTCGCTGATGACACTGCTATCCTTTCTTCCAACTCAGATCCTGAAACAGCGTCCGCAAACTTACAAAGGCACCTCTTCCTGATTGAACACTGGTGTAAGAAATGGCGCATTAAGGTAAACGAATCTAAATGTAAACACATTACCTTCACCCTTCGGCGTAATACCTGCCCACCAGTTTATTTTAACTCCATCCAGCTTCCTTTCTCAGATACAGTCCGGTATCTTGGCTTTCTCTTAGACAGACGACTAACATGGAATCCACATACTCGACTTAAAAGACAGGAACTTAACAGACGATATGGCCAGCTATATAGACTACTGAATAGAAAATCTAAACTTTCTGGTGAAAACAAATTACTGATCTACAAGACAATACTGAAACCCATCTGGACTTACGGACTAGAACTATGGGGAACAGCCAAATTTTCTAACATCAAACGCATTCAATCCTTTCAGTCTAAAGTCCTCCGTACAATAGTCAATGCTCCCTTCTATGTAACCAATAAAACCCTACATCATGACCTTAATATCCCATTTATTCTTGATCTTATCCCAGCCAAATTTTCCAAATTTCACCAGAACCTTTCTCATCACCCAAATCCCGTTGTACAATCCCTATCAAGCACCACCCATCCCTACAATCCCCTTCGTAGGTTAAAGCGGCAGTGGCCTCGAGACCTTTTGTAAATATGGATATTTTGGAGTTCTAGCAATGGCCAGATTCTCCACTCAAGTCATGAGTGTCTGTGGCTGTAGCGCTCTTACTCATCCTCCGCTGGTTTAAAATACCAGTGAAGTGGCTGAGGGAGAAGCGTAGGGATCTCCTAAGCCTCCCTTTTCCCTCCACATGTGGAGGGGACAGGATTGGTTCGGAGATCACCTGGCAAATTGTAAATAATGTATGTTTTATATAAGGTGTTTGTTTTACTTTTATTTCTATTTTTATTTACTTATGTGTATATATATTATTTTTTTTTTCTTTACTCTTTTGTTCTTTCTTCTTATTCTTTTGTTATTACTTTATTTATTTATATTTTTGTATATACGGTATGAATGCAATCTCTGAACTCTATTATAAGTGTCCTTAACTGTGACAAATTGTAATATTTCTGAATAAAGTGTTTTTTAATAATAAAAAAAAAAATACTGCCGGAAAGTGAGTCTGGAGCTATCTTTCGTTTGTGTTGGACGTTTACCCCCCACCATTTTCACCGCCTCCAGGCTCGTCGAGTCTCGTCTCGTCTCATCCCACCTCATCTGCGCCATTTTGAAGATCCCAGCTCTATGTATCATCGCGAGTCATCGATCAGGATCGATATGCATATCGATTCACCCACTATCGACTGTTTTGACAGCTAAACATCATAGAAGTTAACCTGGTTGGAAGCAGAACCTCCAACTTGGCTCGTTTTTTTGTTGTTTTTTTTTTATTCTCCACCGTCTAGTGGAGTCCTAGGCTAAATTAATTTTTTAAAGTTTTTCTAGATTAAATTCTATTTTAGTTAATTTTTTTCTTATTTCTGATTTACATTTTAGAAGTTGATTTCATTTTTGTTTTACTAACAATTCTTTGTTTTTTTTATGTTCACTGAATATTATGTTTTGTGTTTTTTATTCATTTAAGTGAATTTCATACCATTGTTTATTTTGTTTTTTAACTTTTGCATATATCTCTTTTATTTAATAATAAATATTGTAAACATTTAAAAAGGGGATTTATATTTATTTTCCTTTTTTTTGATTTATTGAAATATTTCTATTTTTTAATATTTTCTTGTGCATGCATTTTTTTCTTCTTTTACAGGTCTCATATTCACTCATTTTTTCCCTTCTTTCTCACCCTTTAATTTTACTCGAATTTTTCCCATCCTTGAGGAAACTCACCGGGGAAAGGTTTGTATTTTCAATTTTGAAATCCCCCTGGCCCAACACAATCCCCCCTTTGTGCCTTTTTTATTCCAACCCTTCAAAATTAAAACCATGCTGTATCCTTGACAATATTACTCTAAGCTATTATAAGTTCTTCTATCCACCCCTTCGATACGAGATCTCAACCTGCGATTTGTATTTTCCATCTCATAGGATAGCTTCCTTTCAAAAATCGTTTTTATTAGTTACCACTTCGCTTAGGAACTCCACGCAGTTTTTCAAGAAGTATTAAGTTATTATCGGGAATTCTCAGGTACGAGAGGCAGGAAGTCAGCTGGAAGTTGGAGTGACCGCATGCGGCAGCGGAGGTAGCGTCCTCGCAGAGCTGCGCCAGAGAGGTTCCGCTGTCGGGGACAAAGCGACCATCATGGGCCATGGGGTCCTCAGGGTTGCCAATCCTCAGCAAGGGTCTGTCTTCGTCCTAAGACTCAGGCTGCCACCTCAAGTACGCGCAGCGCATGTTCAGGTGAGTAAGGCATGGTGTTTTTGTTTTTACTATATGAAATGACGAATTACACAATGTATAAAATACCTTACCTACATCCATACGGGCAACCTCATCTTCAATTTATTTTAAATACCAATTATTTATCCTTCCTTAGCAATCCATCTTATGCAAAAAATTAAATTTTCATATTTGTGTTGTCAACTTCATTTTACTGTTACTGTGCAGTTATCTGTAAATTATTTATCAGTACAAACATGTAGTTATTTGTTTACTTATACTTATCCTTTATTTTAATTCTAAGGTTACACCGCTCTGTAATTTAATTATTTCTTGTCATTTTACGCCAGAAAAATGACACTTATATTGCTCATTACTGTTACTATTATCATTATTAGAGAACTAAATGTCCCAAAGTAAAAATCACTTTTCTTCTCCATCTTTGAAAAAACAAAAAAACGTCAGAATTGAACCACTCCACCGAATCAATATATTTTCCAATGATATATATAAATAATATAATTATTTTGATGATTAACTTTTGCTCAATGTGCAAGTTTTCTTTTATTATTCACTTATTCTTTACTAACGATTATATTGTTTTACAAGAAGAATTTTCATACATCTCTTTATAATGATAATGATTCTTGATTTTTATTTATATTTATTTCGATGTTAACATTACATTATGGACATTTATCACCGAATATTTTTTTTTAAGTAAAAACTTCTATAGGGACGTTTTGCACTTTTTGTGGAGAGTGAATAAGATCGAGCCGTCAGATTTCCGATGCGTAACGCTCCGGTAAAGTCGGCTGGTGTCGACTAATAGAAGTATTTTTGCATATGAATTAAAATATCTCAGAAACTAAAAATCGAGTCTGCATACTGAAATCGAGAGAATTCTTCACAATTGTATCCTCTGTATAATGGTATATTATTGAAAATTTTATCTTAACGCGACGCCATGTTAGAGAGGCGAAAAGAAAAAATATAGAAATTAAAAATCGGACCTGGATACTGTAAGTAAAATTGTCAACATTTTATCCTCTTTATAATGAGCTATCGTTTATCATTTATATTTTATATTATTGATCTCATCTTGTTGATGTTTTCACTTCTATCGTGTGGTCTAAAGCACTCTTCTTTGTTTTGTTTTTTCACTTTTATAGAAGGAAACCTGTGTAGTTTTTGAGTTATTGACAAATAAAAATGTGAATCCTTCGATACTTTTACAATATATATATATTTGAACACATCTAGCTAATTCAGTGAAAATTTGAGGTAAATAATTTTTATTTTTCGATTTCTATGAAAATTCGTATTTAAGGGTTTTTCAAGGAATGTTGTTAAATCTATTCTTATTGAATACACTTTCGCCTGGAGTCGACTAATTGAATTGCTTTTGCATATGAATTAAAATATCTCAGAAACTAAAAATCGGACCTGCGTACTGTAAGCAAGGGAATTGTTCAGCATTTCATCCTCTCTATAATGGTCTATTATTGAAAATTTTATCTTAACGCGACGCCATGTTAGAGAGGCGAAAAGGAAAAATTTGTGTCGAAAACCAAATGATAAACGAATTTTATGAAAGATATGAATTAAAGTATCTCAGAAACCAAAAATCGGATCTGGATACTGTTAGCGAAGAAAATTTTCAGAATTCCATCCTCTTTACAATGAACTATTATTTATAATTTATATTTTATATTATTAATCTCGCCTTGTTGTTTTCACTTCTATCGTGTGGTCTAAAGCTAACACCTTATTTTTTTTTTATTTATGTATTGTGATATTGGATAAAACATTCACAGTCTAGTGGTATCGTACTAAACGTGTGTCCATTTCAATTTATCGTTTTACATTTCGGCGACATGAGCAAGTTCAATGGACTGTATTTACGTCAGGCCATAAAATTTAAAAGTGGCGCCGTCTATGATTTGTAGATAGTTCTGCAAGACGATATCGCTCTGCGGGTCTGCAGGCATTCTCTTCCTATACGGCATTGCTCCGATATTAATTCTTATAATAATTCCACGTTAAAATAATAATTCAATCATTTTTTTAAAAAAAGAAAAGTATATAAATAGTGTTTTTATATATTTATTACAATATTACTAACTTTTTTTTTTAACATCAGCAAATTAAAACTATACATAGGTACTATACTTACTCGTAAATCTGTGATCTACTATCATTGGTCAATTTATTTATTTTTTTTTGCTTTATGTTTCAAAGAATATATTTAACTTTTCAAAAATAATAAAAATTTCCATAATTGTCATATAAAAGAGTTGAACTTAAAATGAAAACAAATTCATATTTATTAGTATCCAACACTGTCATCACCACCTATGCCGATGACACGTGTATCCTATCAGTTAATAACGATCCATCTATTGCATCCCAAACTCTCCAATCACAAATCACAAGTCTTGAAAAATGGTGTCAAAACTGGTGGAATAAAATAAATTCTAATAAATCCCATCAAATTACCTTCACTCTTCGTCGTAAACTTATGACTTCCTGTCCTACAGTATCCTTCAACAATAGCCCTCTTATTCCTGTCGAACAAATCCGATACTTAGGACTCCACCTTGACAAACGACTCACTTGGAACCCCCATAACAGACTGAAACGACTAGAAACCGCCCGACGTTTTCGACTACTGCAGCACTTACTAGACAAACGCTCTAAGCTTTCAATCAATTACAAACGACTCATATATATGACGATAATAAGACCTTTTTGGACTTACGGAATTGAACTTTGGGGCTCCGCTAAACCATCGAATTCCTCTCGTATCCAATCCTTTCAATCCAAATTCTTTCGTAAGATCCTCAACGCTCCTTACTTTGTAACAGATAAAATCATCCATAAAGACCTTAATGTTCCATATGTTTCCGATTTGGCCCAATCCAGATACATATCCTTCCATAACAAACTGCAGAACCATCCGAATCCTCTTGTTTCAAACCTTGCTTCCTCCTCGATCCCTGATAACCCTCCGAGACGTCTGAAAAGAAGATGGCCTCGGGACCTTCTAATATAGAACTTTAATTTGAGTTCTACTAATGGGTAGTTTCTCTTCATGTTGTACATGTCATGTTACCAATGTCGCATTTACTTGTTGTATTTTCTATGTAATACAGTTGTAAATTTCATTAAAATAAAAAAAATATATATTTATTAGTCCGTGGTACTGGCCACTTTTCATCAAATTAATGACATCCGCCTGAAACTTCGTAAATATCTTCATCTCATCATAACCTACAAATATTTTATTTAAATTATTTCAGTCAAGGTTTCGCAATAATAATAAAATATTGTTACTCGGCTATTTGTTTAAGTGCGACACAACTAAACCGACCACCACCGATCCATTAAAATGAGGCGGGTGGGGGAAAAGTTTTGGAAGTTTTTTTCTTATTTCCGACTAATCCGTTTGGTTAATCCTAAAAATGTATACGACAACATTTATTAGGCTTGGGAAATAGAATCGAATGACACCTTGAACGGCAAGATCGGGCAAAGTTAAAATATGAGAGTGTTTTAAGCGACAATGCGTTACAGATGTTCGGTATTTCGGATTTTCCCCCCTGAGATGTGATAATTTTTATCAGTATTAGTTGATTAGCACAAATTTTAAATGTGGCTAGCGGTAGAGTAAGTTGGGATGAGATTTGAAGTAAGTAACTGCTTAACCGGGATCTCTAGACAAATTACTCAAGGATTCATAACTTTGGTTCTACTCAATATTTTGTTTTCAAGCCTATGTTTTAAGTTGAGCAAACCTAAATATAATGTCAAAATTTCAAAAGTCTGCCATCAGCCATTGTTGAGCTTACCCCTGACATAATTTCGTTGGATAATGGGGGCATACAGACAGACAATTTTTTTTAAAAAGCTGATTTGGTGTCTGCAATGTATGAAACGGAAAGATAACATGAAACGGGTTGATTTTATTCATTGTACAGACCAAACCTTTATTTTATTTATACAGATATGTAATGTATCAGTGGTGAATCGTTTCACTAAACTAAAGAATTGCGAGACTAAACAATGGTGTAGATATAAAACTAACTCAATAACCAAAACTAAACAATGCACTAATCTTATTCTGAATACTCAAAAGTAAAAAATAAAACTGTGACTCAAACGTTGTCATTATCTCGAAGGCACAAGGTGATAAGTCATGGTGCTTCGTTCAGCTTTGTTTTTACAAATATATACACAAGATGATAATATTTCAGCGGCATCCTCTATTTTAAGCCCGTCCTTTATCATTTCTTTACAGATAAAAGTTATCTTGTTTAAAGCTTAAAAATACAACAAATACCGAAACACTGAATCTTGTTCGGGAAAAGTATCTATTGCATTGTCATCAAATCACTGCGAAGAACGTATTAATGAATAACTACGGTACAGATCCCTTTTTACTAATTCATTGACATCCGTCTAAAACTTCGCGAATGGCTTTATCTGATCTCAATCTACGACTTTTGTATCTACGAAAATTATTACAAATGTAAAGTTTTCTCATTAAATTAATTCCCCCCTGTCTGTGTGAGAGCGAATGGTGCAACTTGCCACTAACCATCAGGTTCGAGATAGCCCTGATTCAATGAGTTCGATTATTTTTATATATTTTAGCAAATACCTTAAAAAAAAAATACTTAATATAAAATAAAAACTATTTCAGGTGACTGCTACGACGAAGGGTCTTGATGATCCAGTACTTCCTGAGCTGGCGGTAGTTCACGAGTATAAGGGACTCCGGACATGCAACCAGCTGACCCTGGGTTGGGTTCCAGTCCACGGGGAGGCGGTGTACTGCATCACTGCTACCCAGGTGAGGAGGAAAGATGTCTTCCATCAGATGCCTGACCAGTGTGCCGTCGAACAGGCCCTCAACTCGATCGCATACTCGGTGCTTCAGTGCAGCCAGATCTTGCCCGGGGAGAATCAGTCAGTATTTTCTCAAATGCTTTGTATAACCATTGTTTATCCATTATATAAGGACACTAGTCATTACCGCTGGTAGATCTACAGTGAGAGGGGCTTTCGGACTAAAGCTCCCTCTCTCCCAAAATATACTCCCCACAATATATTCTCTTTTTAAATTATAATGCATTTAAAGGTACAAAATGTAAGCAAAAATGTCAGAAAAAAAATATATCTATCTCAAAAAGCATCATTTTTCCTGTTATTGTGTTTTCATTTATTTATTTTTTTCTTCATGGACTACTTAGACATCATTTCATACGGTTAACTTTTTTCTCCTTCTTCCAAAGTAATTACTGTTAAGTCCCTCCCGAAATTCTCCTTCTTCTTTTATTCGAACAACATTTGCATGAAGCTGCTCTTGGCCTGCTCAACAGCTGCCAACTCTTTATCTCCTGTAAGGGTAACAGGAATCCTCAGTTGTCGTAGATCCTGCCCCATAGCATCGGCCCTTCGGCCTAGCACGTCGGCGCACAGCATCCGGAACGTTAATATAAAATTTATGAGCCACTCTTTCCTCGCTCATCCTCATCACAAGGCCAACCCACTTAAGTCTCTGTATCCTGATATACGAGGAGATGTTACATTCCTTGTAGAGCCTAAGCATCTCCTCATGAACTCCTCTCCTATCTTATTCCACACCACCGTTAAAAATCTAGGTGTTACTTTTGATTAAACCCTCTCCTGGAAACCCTACATCTCCCAAATTTCTTGTCTCACTATCCCCACCCTAAAACAGTTCAATCGTCTACGATATCTCCTTCCATATAAGTCCCGCCAACTCTTAGTTTCCTCCCTTGTTTTCCCCCACTTCGACTATGGTTGTATGAATGAATGAATGAATGAAAATAATTTTATTATTCTGGGATTAGTGTCCATTTAGAACAAGTCACAAATACAAAATATATATGGTGCACTCTCGGGAGATTTCGAGGCCAAACTTAAACGCCTAATGAATTGCGCACTACGATTTATTTTCAGAACCTCAAGGGATACGCATATTACCCAGTATTACACCGACTCCACTTCGACTATGGCTGTCTAATGTACGGCGGACTCTCGGGAGACTTAAACGCCTATTATACCGAGTTGAATTATACCATCCAATCGCCGCCTGTACTTCCTAGCCACCTTTCTGTACCAGATCATTAGAACTCATCGACCCTTCTATATTTTTCACAGCTTACAATACAAATACTCGATCCAGTCCCGTCCCACTAGATCTCGTACTTCCGATCTCTACCTCCTCCTCACCGAACTGCTGCGTTTGACAAATCCTTTGCAATACAAGCTGCCTCCCTCTGGAATTCCATCTCTGCTGATATACGAGACGCATAATCAGTTTTCTCTTTCAAACCTCTCCTCTTTAAACACCTACTGCTTTCTCAATCCGACTGTAAAATATCTACCTTTCCCCGCTCATCCTCATCACATGGCCAATCCACTTAAGCCTTTGTATCCTGATATGCGAGGAGATGCTACATTTCTTGTAGAGCCTAAACAGCTCACTATTTTTACTTCTACGCCATTTACCATTCTCGCATACGGGCCCTTAGATTCTTCTCAGAATTATCCTTTCAAACCTGTCTAGTAGGTTAATGCTTGCATTGCTTAAAGTCCACGTTTCTCCACCGTATGTGACGATTGGCCTTATCAGCGTCTTGTAAAGCATAAACTTGTTGGTATTTGTTGGTAGGGTTAACAAGTTTGATTTTGATTAGCCTTAAAGTGGAGAAATAGGCTCGATTTTCTGCTGCTATTCTGCTTTTAACTTCTTCTTCTTCATTCTGGCTATCTTTAATGATAGAGCCAAGGTAAGAAAAGCTTCTGACCACTTCGAAATTGTAGGAGTCCATTACAAAGCGACTCTCCAGCCTCAGATCCAGTGACTTATTACCCAATACCATAATTTATACTCTACTACAATACTCTCCTGCAATTAAATCCTGGATTTGTCACTGTAGGGTACCACGAATCGTTACTAAAAACTGGAGTATCCAATTCCAGAACATATTAGGTATCAACACTACTTTTTTTATCTATTTTTTATTATGGTCATGTCATCATCTTAACTATTTTTTGTAACTCTTTATCTTCCATTTGTTTCCTACTTTTGTTTGATAACGTTTCTTGAAAATAAGAAATCGCACAGTGTTGCTAGAATGAGATAAAAATTTGCATTTGTTTTAAAAAATAATACGGAGAAGTGGAAAACCTATTCCTTCAACCTATAGCTGGAGGAGGAAAAAAGTGTAAATAATAAAAGATCCATTCGTTTTTTAAATGCTTCACTTGTTCAGTAAGATACTTCTTGATGTAGCTATCCACCAACTATTAAAATAATTACAATGCAGTGAGAATTTTATTTTATATCACTACAATTAAATATAAAAACAGTTTAAAGGGGTTTCAGCGCATTTATAGGCAAATAATGCCAGACCAAGCTTGGTAACTTTAACTAAACTATTTTAGATAAATATAATACAAAAGATGGGTAGTCATGAACTCTAGTTTTTAAAGGAATAAATAAATTCTTGTTCAAATTCTGGCTCAATAAATTATCTTTATAAAAGGATAAAAAATCAGTGGTCTTAGTCTACCTGGTAATTGGAACAAAGCTAAAATTTTCTTGGATCTCTCAATTCTAAAATGAGTAATTAATATTAGTCAGAAGCATGAATCAGGTTGTTGGAGTACAATGCACATACTATATACTGAGAATATTGAAAATTATAAATTGTATTACTAAATAATTTAAATGTGATTAAATTTTTTTGTACGAAAAATTCATTTCATTAAATTGAGCTCGCTCTTTTCTCTTCTATAAATGAATATATTATTACAGAATATTATTTGGGTCTTGTTTAGATTAGGCTTGCCAGTGATTTTTTTTTTTTTTTAATTTCTTTATTGAGTATTATAACAATCTGTCTGTTGGACATTGGTTATAGTGAGGTAGGATGACATTCACACCATATGTACAAAAAAAATAAAATAAATAGAACAAAATAATAATCAAAAGTATATACAATAGACAATAAAATAAAATAACCTAAAAAATAAGAAAATTAAAACTAAGAAAAAAAAAAAAAAACACATGCATACCTATATACAATCAGGCGAGGGAACTCCAGGAGAACCCTGCGCTACTCTCCCAACCGCGTCACTGGTACTAAAGCCAGCGGAGATTGGTCGAGAACACTTTAGCCACATACACACATGTCTTGAGTGAAGAATCTGGCCATTGCCAGAACTCCAATAAAGTGATTTTTTAATGATATTTAGTAACAGTTGTTATGAAACTTGATACCATTGATATAGAAATAAAATAACATGTTTAAATATTATTTAATTTAGTATTGAATATTTAATAGCTGACCGTTGCATTATAAAGGAAGGAGATGGTCCGGGCTGGCGGTCATAAATAGGTTGAATAGTGGCAAAACTATTTTATTAAAAGCCAATGTTTCGATCCGACTTTGCAGGTCTTCTTTAGGGCTAGAACGGACAAGATACAAAAAGATAGAGAATTGTGGAAGTTGCATAATATTATGACCAAAAATTATAAACAATGTGAATAAGCTTATTAAAATTACAAACAGTAGGTACATTAAAATATAAACAGAATAAGCTAAGTAACAAGACCCTTAACTGAAGTAAATAGATGGTAACAATTGTTGTAGTGTGATATATAATATAAGCAAATGTGAATATACTACAACAGATCTACAGGAGAGATTGAAAAAAAAGAAGGAAAAAGGATATAGTATGAAATAATAGACGTAAAAAATGTTGGCTTTTAATAAAATAGTTTTGCCCCTATTCAGCCTATGTATGAGCGCCATCCCGGACCATCTCCTTCCTTTAATTTAGTATTATTTGTGTAATTACGGTAATAAAGTGATAACACGATGAATATTTTTTAAGTTTACTATTTATGCAAAGAAGAGGAACAAGTCAGGATTTTCTTTGAAGAAAGAGGAATTCTACCTAAGGAAAGCTATTGTAAAAAGGCCACATTATGAAATTTTACGAAGATAGGAAAAAATATAAGTGCAACAAAAGACAATGCCGGTATGAGTGTAGCATGTATACGGGTACATGGCTATGTGACAACAGGTTTCCGTTAAGTAAAGCCCTTTTATTCATTTACTCATGGGCACAGGGGTATACAACGTTTAAATTCTGTTCAAAGTATTCAATATGAGCTGAGCTACAATTTTAGATTGGAAAAATTATCTGCGAGAGGTGTGCGCAGCTAGTTTGCTGAAAAACCTGATTGTTATTGGGGGCAAAGGACTGACAGTTGAGATAGACGAGTCCTGTTTTTCTCATCAAAAGTATAATGCAGGACGCACCTATCCATAGCAATGGGTGTTTGGCGGGATCTGTGAAACTAAAGAGTATTTTTTGTACCCATTGCTATCTTCCGATAGGAGAAGAGAAACACTGGAGGAGTGTATAAGAACATCAATTAGACCGGGTTCCATTATAATGTCTGACCTGTGGAAGTCCTATAGTGGGATAGAAGGAATGATTGGAAAGGATTACAGGCATTGTACTGTAAATCACTCCAAAAATTTCGTCGACCAAGAGACTGTTGCTCACACTCAAAGAGTTAAGTCTATGTGGGTGAATACCAGAAGAAGAAACAGAAAGGAATGTGGGGATCATCACTCAATGTTTAGACTCGTATTTATGTGAGTTCATGTGGAGGCAGAGAAACTCAAATGAAGACGTTTTTGATAAAATCCTTAAGGACATAGTAGAATTTTCTCCTCCAGGGGTACCTGGAGTAACTCATTAAAAGTATGTTAATGTTTTTGGTTATGTATAAAAAGTTCCTATTAAATAAATCATATGTTTCTTTAACCCATATTTTTCAATTTATCAATAAGTAGCTTTTACAAGGTAAAATAACTGGTGGGCCTAATCTAAACAAGAATCTATTATTTAAATATTTCAGAACAAAATAGATCTAGGAAACTTAAGTATTAGGTGTCGGTTAATATATTAGATCTCAGAAATTCTTAAGTACAGAAAAAGTTCACTTATTAGTGTTAACTTTTATTTCTGTAATGTATATATAAAATAAATCTTGACCTTTGAATTCCATCCAGAATGGGTTGGTAACAGAAAGAATAATCCAGTCTTCCTAGAACGATTATTAGACATAAGTTTTAGACCAAGGTAAATAAACAAGAAGAAAAGATAAATCTTTAAAATATCCTTTTATGTATACAAATAAAATATTTTACTTGATTAATAAAAAAATATTACTTGATTAAGCAATTCATTTGCATGTTGCAGGACGGTAATAACTGAACCAGTAACCAATCTGAAACCTGGAAAGCAATACGACATTCAGGTCTCCGTGAAAAAAGGCAACTCCAAAGTCTTATCGTATGAACTTATCAGGGTGCGGACGAAGAACTCTTGCAAATAGGAACAAGAAAGGCCTTTTTATTTCTCTTAATAAGTCTGATTTTAAGCAAAATGATTTGACTGATTTTTAGTTATTACTTTACAATTTAAGTCAATTAGGTAGCCTAAAGTGTACATACATATTTATATTTATTGAAGTATTATTTGAATTAATTTATTATGTATTTCAAACGCTTGAGTAAAAAATTAATAGTAATAGAATACAATCGCTATGAAAAGACAATAATTTAAAACTTGAAAAGTTTGGATTGATTTTTGTATAGGAGTATTTGATAAAACGAGGTGTTGTAAATAGATTTTTAATGAAAGTGTAGATGATGGTAGTTTATCTTTTTTAATTTATTTATTTATTATATTTTTTACAAAGTCTTTAGCATAATTCTGCCATAATTATCTTCTTTTTTTTTTAATTTGTATCATTCCCTTGTACTAAGTTAAGTATTTTGATAGACTAAGTGCCATAGGCTATTAGCTAGTAATTTACCAATTCAATACAATTATATTTAATTTTTTTGTTTATTTAATTCAAATAAACACATTCAAATTATCTAGAAAATTTTCTCATTTTAACCTATGAAAATTTGGCATGTGTTATAAAATATGTTTGTATACATAACAGAGTATATAAACACTAGAAATGTCTTTATACTAGTTTATTAAAGATTTGATTAATCATTCATTGCTTTATTAAATACCTTTTATCCCTGAATGTGCAATATTTAATCAAAAATTTAATTAGAGACAATATTTTTGTCATATTATTGTCAGACCAAAGTTCCAAACTTTATGAATCTCTCAGTATCTCACCTACTTCAGACATTTTCAGGATTAAAAATTCAATATTAGTTCATATTATTAAATAAAAACACTAAGTGATATTATGTACATTATTATGTACATACATTATGATCCCATAATTGCAATCTAATCGTAACCTACAACTATATTATTTACGAAAATTCTCGGCATTGGGGCGTTTTCAATCTGGAGATCGTCAAACTTTATTTAATCATGTACTATAAACTTATAAATGCCCATTTACTTTCCATTTGAATGGTTTGACAAATGTAAAATAGAAAATTTGACCACAAGCTCGAGAAAAAGATGGCCTTCAAAAATATTGAGCTGTTTGGCATGACCTTCACCTCCAACATGTCAAAATAATGAGGTCTTATTGGCTAAACGGCTCAATATTTTTGTAGACAACCTTTTTTCTCAATTTTCTGATCAAATTATCTTACGATCTAGGTGGAAAGCAAATGGTGTATATACGAGTTTTCAGTACCTGCCTGATTAAATAAACAAAAGTTGATGATCTGCAGTTTGAAAAGCCCCAATTCTGAGAATTTTCGAACATAAAATATTTGTAGGTCATGATGAGATAAACCTATTTACAAAGTTTCAGGTGGGTGTTAATAATTTGATAAAAAGAGGTCCGTGTACCAGGGACTAATATTTAGTCAATGAAGAAAATATTTTAAAAAAATAACTGAAATTTATAGTTGGAAAGAATCTTACATGTCTAAGCCGCAAAGTCTATCTAATTATATTTACCATCAAGTTCTAAAGTAAGTTTCTCCTTCTGATTAATGATTAATTAACTATTTAATTAACCCTTTCTGATTAATTATCTATTCAGAATTAATATTGAGATATGTCCAGCGAACTTATTTTGCTTGATCTGTAAATTGTCAAAATCAGATCAACCTCCCAGTTCACAAATTTTTTAATGGTATGTTTTGAAAGTTTAGATATTCGAGAACCTATTTCAAACTACAAATATTATAGTAAAATATTTTTCTTAAATATTATTTCTTTCTCTCACCCCCTGTATTCATATTTTATTTTAAAAAAGAAAAATTATATTTCTTTATATTTAAACTAAACGGATACCTATTTCAAACTACAAAAATTATGGTAAAACGTTATTCTTAAAGAGTATTTCTTTATTCATATTTTATTTTAAAATTATGTTTCTTTATTCTTAAGCTAATTTATTTCTTATTACTAATTTCTTATTTAATTTATTTCTTTATTCTTAAATGGATATAAATTTACATATTTTGTGTTATTTTACTTATAATCTTATCCCTTAAATTAATAGATAATTTCCAATGTTAATTTTTCTGTAAGTTTTTTAGTTTTTCTTATATATAATTTTTTTAAAATTTTATTTTATCACCTCAATTTTCATATTTTTAATACTTTGTTACTAATTTGTAAAAATAGAAATACATATATAGATGCATATTTAGCACTTATTTTAAATGAAAAACCCAAAACCTTGTAATAAATAAGCCAATTGTATGAATTTTTGTTTTATTTTGGTAAACAGAAATCATTTTATATAAATTAATAAGTACTATTAAATACGTTGATTGCAAATCGATAGATTGATTAAAGATTTTTTTTTATTCAGAACTTTAGCGTCAGCTTTTAAGACAACTGTTATCTATTTTTTAAAGCTTAAATTACTAGTCAAAACGGTCAATTAAGTATCAAAAATGAAATAAAATTACTGGCAACATCCTCATTTAAGTCTCCAGTAGTGGAGTAACTGACCCAGACAAATGCCCATATTTCAGATTTCACGCTTAAGTTTTTATAGCAGTAACTCTTTACAGGGTTATTAACCTATAATAAATTCATGAAATAATGCACTCAAAATAAAGTAGTAAATTTTTGATATTAGTTTAATTTAAGAAGATGTATTATCATTATCATTTTAAAAAATTCTAAAATTACTTTCAAATGAGGTGGAAAAAATAATCTCTCTGCCCATATCTACTCATCAATTGTAACCTTCTAATGTACATAACACAATCACTTCTCCAAGTGACAGCAGTATTTGAGTTAAATACTACACCTGAATAGGTATGGCAAATAATCTGTGGTAAAGGTCATTGATTGACATAAGTAGATTGATCTATGGTATCTTGCTGGATATCAACAAGATGGATGTTTAATCGGTAGCAATGCTCACTTGGAAATGTGCCAGCTTCAGTTTATGATTTAGGATTCTGAGGTCCCCTGTCTTTCTGAAAGTCTTTCTTTTTGCGAGAGACCATTGTATGGTCCCGTGATGTCAGCGACTCCCGCACAGATTCCTGAAGTGCCCAAGAGGAGGTTGCATAGTGCCAGTTGCACCATGAAAATTTTTGAGGGCTAAAACATTTATATGGGATTTTGAATTTTAGAGCGGACTATGTTTTTATGTAGACATGAATTTTTTGAAGAAAACATATTTTTTCGAGATTTCAATTTGGAAAAACTTGAACAACTCAGGAGACTAGGGGAAGACATCGAACAGACAACAGTAAATGTATTTGTGTATGATCTACATTTTTCTAATTTTAATTTAGCTTTCAATGTTCTTAAGAAGAAGAGAGTAATAAAATGTCTTGGGAGAAGGATGTATGTACGATGTAAGACACTCCTGTGGTTTCCTCACTTTGAAACACATCTCTACACTAAACAAGGTTTTGGCCATACTGTGATGGTGTGGCATTTATTTTTCATCAGGATCAATAGTATTTTCAACGTCCTTTCAAAATACTTTAGTTTCCAGAATATTTGACAAAGATCATTTCCGAAACACTGACTCCAAGATTAACTCTAGCTACCAACCTTAGACATAAGAGGATATTCAACAGCGTTATTATCAATTCTGGCGCATTGATAATCCTGATTGGACTCCCATAATAGTAGATCTTCATGCCAACAACCGCTTCAGTTATCTTAGTGATTGTGACATCTTCTGTTAGGGTTGTCACTAGTGAAAAAATGTATCTATGCTGAACACAGGTGGATCAATGGTGGCTGAAGTCTGCCCTTCCTCCCTCTAAAATGGTAAAATATACTCATGTCTTAAGAAAAAAATAATAAGAAATTACCTCTAAAAGTATTTTTTTTCGTTTAATTATATTTAATAGGACTTTATAAACCACTTAAACACCATTTCATATAGGAAGTTTTTTAATTTTTTTTTGCAAAGTAATTATTTATGTATATATTTACAAAATATCTTCAATCGACCTTTGAGTATTATATTTTAACATTATTATTTTATTGGGAATAAGGTCACTTAATAATTATCCAATAAACTACTAAATGTCCATGCTTCTGTGTTTATTCGACGTTTCGATCTCGTTTTTTTTTTTTATAAGTTAACATAGGGATCCTCTTCAAATTGGGCTCCCAAAATTAAATCCTGAATCCGATAAAGATGCTCCATAAATGCCTGTTTCATACGACGCATCCGTTGCAACATATCCAGTTCTTTCAATGTATGGTTGTTGTTTTTTGTTGCTAAATAGCAGTGCCTGCGACGAGGCACATAATTGCAGGGACCCTCGTCGCTCTGGGAGTACATATTAGACAAATAGAACCAGCAATGGTTGAAGACCCAAAAGGAGCAACTCTATAGAAGTGCTTCCCTGACGTTTTCGACTACCAGAAAACATATAATTCCGTAGATGCATCTTAGAACTGATTCAGTTTAATTTGTTAATTACAAATTTTCTTTCTGAAGTAGAAAGCTCCGGCCAAGGAAAGAGGAGGCCTGTCCAAAAGCCAGATGGGATCTTCCGTTGATCTTAAAGGCTCATGCATACAGAACTCGATCTGTTCTGGCAATTTACGATCCCATGTGTTCTTTGCATCGCTGCTGATTATCGGTCTCTGTATGGCTTTAATTGTGGAGTAGAAAGTAACACAATAATATCGCCAAATCGTCGTGGACAGCCATATCAATCATATCGCCGAGATATAGCGTTCTGTGAGCATCAGCCCTAAGTTAGATTTCAATTTCCTTCTTCAACGCCAACATTACTCAGTTTTTCATTCGTTTACCGTTCAGACAGTCATTTAAAAGCTACATTTTTAAGTTATTCTATTTTTTCTAAGTTTACTTCTACTTATATGAATCAATCGGTGAAAATAAACAACGAATGCATTGATAAAAGAATGCATTATATCTAATATAGCATTATTCTAAACTCAATTCAGTTAACTTATTTAAGTTTGCACTAGACAGTTTATACCGAGGTAATGTAACGAAGGGATTGTGAAATATTATTGATATTGGATTATTTAGAGAAATAACACTTCAAAAGCTTGATTGTGCTATTCGAAAAAAATCGCTACATCGATACTCCAGCGATTTACAACATGGCGTTTTTATTATGATATTGGTTAGGCTAGGGTACTTTATTTATCTGGAGTTGTTTAATTTTAAACTGATGTTATAGCTATCCTAAAGGCTATCAGTTCTATGTCTTCAGAACTTATAGGAGAGTTGGGGTAATATCTAAATTACCGACTTGCGTAGACCCTATCACATAGTAATTAAGTGGAAGCAATTTTTAAATTTTTGTGAATATCTTCTGCTCAGAACCATAGTATTACAAATATTTAATTATTAAATTGTGTTAATAGTGTCTAAAAGAGAGTTGGCTAATTGTTGTTTATTATCAACAGTATAATTTCAATGACTTCATTGTTATTTTTTAAAGGCAGGTGGGTTTAAAAATTGGGGATTCTACCTCTGCAGTTACAGCTGCTCCTGACTGCTATTCGGGTGATGAAAAGAAGAAACCACGCTTGTCATCTAGACCGAAAAAATTTCGTCAGGTTTGTCAATTTATGCTCAGTCTTTTATTATTATAACTCTGATTTTCTTAACCGAACAACAGTTGTTTCCTTATTCACAAATTTCTATCCAGAACAAATTAATGGACTGTTGATTCAGCTGTCTTAAGTGGTGTTGAATTTCAGTTATTTTGTAATATCTAGAGCTATTTTATATTCCCTCACTAATACATTTTTAAGATAATATCTATTATGCATTTTATATTTTTCTCTATTTCACTCCTCATTCCACCCATACACCATAGTTGGTTTTACCTGGGATAGCTAGAAAAATATTGTAACTGTCAAAATTTGTTATAGATCAACCATTGCCTTTTATTAGTTACGTTGTTTGGTTTGGAAGATTATCCTATTGGATAAGTCCTGTAGCTTTCGTAATCGACCTTTTGAACAGACATTTTTAAATTACAGGATTTGGCCCAATCCAGATACCTATCCTTCCATAATAAACTTCAGAACCATCCGAACCATCTCGTTTCTAATCTTGCTTCCTCCTCGATCCCTGATAACCCTCACGAGGCATCTGAAAAGAAAATGGCCTCGAGATTTTGTAATTTCTATTGTAAATAGATTTTTTTTTTTATTGCTACCGGTGGGTAGTCTCAACAAGTATTTTCTGTTATCATACTTACTGAATGTATTTTTTCTTTCTCAACAAGTATTTTCTGTTATCATATTTACTGAATGTATTTTTTCTTAATACAGTTGTAAATATCATAAATAAATAATTTTAAAAAAAATTATGGGAAACATATCTGGCTATATCGTAATTTATGAATTTTAAACTTTCTACTCCAATTAAATTTCAATTTTCGTGATGGAATGTTATTGTGATATACCACTTTTATGTTTGTTTGATGAATTTGTAGTTTAAGGGTGATGCTTTATTATTGTTTGAACATTAGAGAGACCTCTTTAGTTAATTAGTCAAATAATTATTAGTTTAGTTAATTCCAGTTACAGGCACAGAAAGTCCTTCACCACTATATTAAATAATGATTCCCTTTCTACTATGGAACTTTAGTTTCTGCTTCTAACTCATTTTATAAAAAAAAAAAGATTTCTAGTTATGAAAAATCTTTTATCAACAGCTATGTTTGTTTTACACTTTTAACTTCCGTTCATACTAACAAAATTGAGCTAATTTTAATTAATTTAATTTTTCGTTCACAAGTGTATGTTGACTTTTGTAATATAATAAGCACTAAAGTATTTTTTCTAAATCCAAAAAAAGTTAATATGAATACAATACATGTTGAGTGTATGCAGACTAACTATATCATTATTCTATATGGTCCACTGTTTGTAGGGCTATATAAGTAACCTAAAAATGAGTGACCTTAGATCAAAGACATATATCTGTCATTTTAAAGTTGAGAAAAAACCTATTTTTGTAACATAGCTTTCATCTTAACCAATTATGATGATTTTTTTATGATTTAATTTGAACATTCTTAAATAAAGTTATTAGATACAGTTTGAGTTGAACCTAAATAACGTCTGCCAAGTAAGGTCAGTAGGTACCGTTTCATTGGCTAAAATATATCTATATTACAAGGTATACAATTTTTCATATGAGAATAAAATATATGGGAGAAGCTGATTCTGAAATACAGTTACCCTTTAACATTCGCGGGTTTGATATCCACAAATTTCGTTTATCAGCCAATTTTTAATATTAAAATGCGAAAGAGTGACATATTTGAAGATTCCATATTGATTATTCTTAAAAAAAAAAAAATAAAAAAATACCAGTACATACTGAACATGCATATCACTACTGATAGTGCAAAAGGTCGTTTGTAAAAACTCATTATTTCTTTATGCTTTATTGGTATAATTTCATATTTTATTGTCCTCTGCTATTTTCCATCATAGCAGACTGCTTATATCAGTTACAGACTACAAAATGTCACCTTTAGCACAAATAGAATAAAAGTTGAAAATTTTTACATACGACCTTTTGCAATAATAGTAGTGATATATACTTAATAGGTATGATTTCAGTCCGTAAAATGGATGGAACTAGAAAATCCATAGGAAAAATTCAACTTTTTGTTTGTTCGGAGTTAACGAGACCAATATTTTTCTTCAGTGAGAACAAAACTAATTAAGCTTGAATATAAAAATATGGGTGAAGTTCACACAACTTCGATATTTAAGGAGGAAATCGAGACCAAGACAAACTGATTGAACTTCAATGGAAATAAACACAATCGCAAATAAGACGTTTTTATTGTTTACAAATTCAGAGTAAAAGTTACATTAAATTTACTGGATATTACACAAAATCTAAGTAAGGCAGTAAGTGTCATGCCAGTAATGTTTAAAATCGACCAAACAATACAGTATCAATTAATTTTTTAAATAAAACATAAAATTTTATAATCCCATAACAATATTGTAATAACCTAACTCCCACGCCATATGAACAGTGCCTTCAACATTTCACAGCCATTATCTTGTTAACAATTATTTATATTAATTTTAATTATTTAATGGAATTCAATGAAATTGATACCAAGTAATTTCTATACTGTTCTCCAAATTTCCTCCAAGTTTGGGTCAGATCATATGCCCCGTTTCTAAACTATAGGATTATCAAATAACACATTTCCTGATCTAAAAGCGGAAGTATTTTTTTTGGAGTAGTTGATAAAATTGATGCCTATTTCATTTTACTGTTACCAATCCCTAAATTCCCTCCTAATTTGAGCCAAATCGAACTTGTGTTTTTAGAGATATAGACGTATCAAGGAAAACACTTTTCCGCATATATAAGATAAAGCAATAGACAGAATTCAATCAATTTGACCCTTCATTATTTTTTCACAAATACCTACCTTTTTCCAACTTTGAGCCAAATCGAACTAGCAGTTTCAGAAATATTATATCTACAAAAATGCGTTTGCGCGAGCGTAACAGAAGTGCGGGTTAGAATTTAATAAAATTTATATGGGATCATCTAGACACCAACCCACATAATTCCTGAAATTTCATGAAAATCGGATAAACGGTAATAGGTGATATGCCTGTTACATTGATTTGACTACAGTCAGACACCGAGCCAAATTTGATCCTTGATGTCTGAAACTTATAACGCGAGTGAAAATTTTCGATTCTGAACACAAAATTTCTTTTAACCTCTTGCACGAATACAATGCTTCCCTACCGGTGAGTGAGGAAACAAAAAGAAAATTAACTTTTTCTCCACTTTCTTCAAATTACATATGTCCATCTTTGATGTGCAGCTACTCAAATGTTTTAGAGAATTTCATTTCTTTGATAATGTTTATATTCATTGAGATATTAATTATTACATTAATCTCTTTAAGAACTTATAGTATAATTAAATATATCCCTGTGCTGTATCTCCTGACAAGTTGCTTTAAAGCAGAAAATTTGCCTTTGGTTTGAAATGATCTATTACAACCTTAAAATTAGTTTATGGAATTCATTTTATATTTCCCAGAAATTTATCCAATTTATTTAGTTTAAAATTACCAGATAGCTAATTCTAATTAATACAAAAAAATTGTTAATATTCTGTTATTAATTTTTTTTTTAAATTGTGATTTGAATACTGCCCGAGTATATGATGATTTAATGTTTTGTGATGTCCGAATGATGTATGTGTAGGCATGGATGATGTTCGATATCTTTAAGGACTGGCTTCGACCTCATACTTCACCAGAATTTGCTACCTGTATTGTATGTAACAGAGTTATCAAAGCAGGTAGGTTAAAAAAAATTACATGTTTGATATCTTGAACTAAACAAAATAAAATATATAATAATTATTAAGTCATCAGTTGTGTGGAATGATCAGGGTGTCTACCAGACTTGGATTACCTGGAAATTTCTGAAAAGTCTGAGGATTTTACAAGCGAAGGGATGCAAGGGAAAATTATTTAAAATCACTGTTAGTCACAAAACATTTTTTGTGTTAATGATAAATACTCATGATAAGTCAAATGTGTTATTGTATGTTAATAATTTTTTCATTATAAAAAAAGCATTTTAATTTACTTTTCCAGTAATTGATTATTTTTCCTAATTATATTCTAAAACTGTTCATTAAGAAACCGTTTGTTTATTCCAATAAAGAAATATAGTTATTATTATTTTTTAAATTAATATATATTGTTTAAATGTTTAAAAGACATTATTACAGATTATGTCTCTACTACTTTTAATTTCAAAGGGAGACTATTATTTTTGTTTGATTTCTTACAAACTTGTATTTCATAAATATTTTAAGCTTTCTTATAAGGTCTCCAGTATTGTACATTGAAGTATTTGAAATGACAAATATTGTACTAATCCCATAAAATGATTATTATTAAGTATCAGTTTACTAACATTTTTCTTTTATCTGACTTTCTGAGAATTATATCTATTGACTGTTAATTTTAAATGAGCATTTAAAGTGATTTATCTTTTTTGCATCATGTCCAATTGTTTCAATGATCTGAAACTTTTCCAAACATAACCTGGAAAATTCAAGCAATTCCATAAAAAGTTTAGGTGGACACTCAGAATTCTCAATATTAATTTTCAAAGTATAGATTATTTTTTTAAAAAATATTGTGACTATTGCTTAAGACTAATGACTTTATATTTTTATTTTATATAAATGGTTGTTGCTTACCAGTATGTCCTTTGGTGTTGAATCGGATTTCATCAGTTATATTTTCATAGGTTTCAATTCGTTTGTAATAAAATAAACTTTGCTATTGATTAGAATGAGCTATTCTTAGTTTTTTTAGGTGACCTCTCATTAAATAAGTTTGTAATAAAGGTGTTGTGTTATAAATAATAATGAATTCCAAATTTTATATTTCTAAATGTTTGAATTAAAAAAAAGAAGTATTAAATATTTTATTTTCAAGTTGAAAATAGGTTATGTTTGGTATTTAATATTTAATTTAATTTTTATAGCTTGGTTTTATGTTTTTTTTAACTCAGGTAAAAGTGAACTTGAGAAACACGCTGCAGGTAAAAGACACCAAATGCTTCGAGGTAACGTCCCCTCTACAACAACTGTGCTGATTGGGCAAGAGCTGATATCACAGTCAGAACTTCCAGTCAGCATCAGTATCAATGGTAAGGAAACAGTTTACATTAATAATATTTCTAAAATGGACAAATAAATTCATTTAAACTATGTTCTGGTGTTCAAATGTTCAAATGTACGATTCAATCAAATCTCAATAAATCAAAGTTGGAGTTTGTTAACTTTTTTTAAAATTGTATAAGATACAAATAGTGTGGGTTTAAAAATGATAGCTTAGTTTATTCTATCTTGGTACTTGGCTTTTATGTTTTGTCAATACGGTGTAAAGAGTTATATACAATATGAAATTCTTAATGAAAATCTAGACAGAAATTTAGGTATTACTGAAAAACAAATATGCAATATATTTTTGTTTTTCATTTTCTGGAAGGTATAAAATATTTTTTCTTTGACAGTACCAAAAATAAGATGTTCTTATAAAACCATGCCTATATTTATTAGATAACATCTCCTGTACCTCATTATCAACAATTAATATTAATGAAAACAATATTGGTTCTTACATTACAATTATTTATGAACAAATATGTAACTCATTTATTTACATTTTAACACATAATCATCCACCTAATTTAAAATTACCCGAATATCACAGTTAAGTAATATCACAATACTATAATATTTCATGTCTTTATACTGATATCAAAATAATAAAATTCTATCTTAAGATATTTATTTGTCTTTAAGTCAAACTTGTACTATGAACTTTGTTATCTGTAAGTTATTATTGTGAGGTTTAGTCTTTGTTTATCTAACTATTTAAGTTCATTAGTGCAATTAATTTTAATGTTGTTTTGTTTGTAAAACACAAATTAAGAATGTTTGGTATTTTTTTTCCTGGTAATATTGATAGCTTCTAATAATCTTCTGTTTCTAGTTTTATTGTCCAATATTTTAGGTTTTTCAAAATTAAATTTATTCTATAATTTAGAACTAAGGTATGGAAGCGCTGTTGTATTTATATCTTTTGTATTTTTACAGTTTGTTATATTGCTATTTATTGCGTGTTGAATAATCCTCGTTCTTTATGTTTACTAAATTTCTCAATTTTAATATTTTTCACAATTTGTACAATTACTCTATATTTTTTGTTACTGATATATTTCATTAGTTACTGTTATGTTGATGTTTTAATTTAATTTTAATTAAAGATTGGGATGATCATGCTCTTGGAATTTTTTTTTAAATATTCTCAATTATACCAGGGAATGTATACTATTTTATATAAGTTCTTATTATGATTTATCAAGTTTTTCTCAACCCCTTTCTGGTGATTATCATTATCTGCATTACCTGTTCATTTAAAAATTATGCGATAAAAAAAAAAGGTAAAAGACTCCAAATGCTTTGTTGGTGTTAAAAGTAATACACAATATGAAATTTTAATGAAACTGAAAATTCAGGACAGAAATTTTCCTTTCTTAAACTCAGTTCTCTATACATCCGTACTTCCCTCAGTTCCTTTTTTTGGTTCTTTTCTTTTGCCAGTTTGATTTACTGAAGTGTTGAGACAAAAGAAGTAGAAATTAGTGATATTTAAATTTATAAAGATTGCTTACTTTTAATTAAGACGATAGTTTGAGTGGATTTTTTAATGAATATTTTATTTTTTTAGCTGAGGGCGGAGGTGCCCCGACACCAGTTACTGTAGATGAGTACACAAGCGTGCAGTGTATCGATGCTGGAACATATACCAATATTTCTAGTGAAGGTAACCCAGTTAGCAGTACTGAAACATATCATCAACCTGTACAGAGACATCATCCAATAGTAGCTCCTCAACCGCAAGTCGAACTAACAACGAAGGCCATCGGTAAGTTTAGTTTAACACGGATCACTAATTTTAAATCTAGAATAATGATTTAAATCTGGCTCTTTGAGTATATTTGGTCAAAAAACAAATTTATCGTATTTTATCAACTGTATGGGGTTTTATTAATTATAATTTAATACAATTTTTTTTTACAGTAAGCCGCCAAGCCCCACCATGGAAAGCTACTGCTATTGTGAATGGGCATGTCACTCGATTGGACTTGGCTGATTACCGAGGGCGCTATCTGATATTGTTCTTTTACCCTCAGGATTTGTAAGTGTCTATTATTTATTCTATCAATATTTTTGTACTCATTTTTACTATACCTCGCGCGGGCTCATATGGGGAGCGTCCCACGAGTGGCGGATGTGGAGATGATCAGTGGAAATTCCTTGGAAGTTCCTCCCGGCTAAGTCCGATTAAGTAACAGACTTGCTTTATGGTGTGACGTAGGATTGAACGCCATACTCGCATATCTTTAGTTCACCATACATCACAAATAGTCATGGATCTTCCTAAGGTCAAATCAATATCCGCAGATAAACTAGTCCCCCGTTCAGGTCTCCGGGTGGGGGCTGCTTTATGGGACTCATGACGCAAGTTAACGATTGGTAGTGTCGTTATCGAACCTTCGGGTTCGCTAAGCCTTTTATTATTATTATTTTTAATATAACTCTACAGGAGTCCATTTCCAAATAACTTCTAACTCAGTTTTGATATTGTTGATGTATAACTGCCTTTTATATGAGGCCATTCATTTGTTTTTATTAATTTAACAATTTTTCTAATGACAAGTTCTACTCTTAAAAGATTAAAAAGCCAGTTTTAAAAACTTTTGGTATAGGGCAGGCATAGGTAGGGAATCTACGGTCTCTAGGCCTCATCTGACCTTTGTGACCTAGCTACAGTCTCCAAACATTTTTGACCTGTGTTTATTAATTTAGCCCTTGAATTAATTAATATTTAATTATTTATGCCACCAAAATTTGAAAATTAATAGAATAAGTTGATTGTATGTGTATAGGTGGGCGTATTTATTGATAAATAAAAATATCAACAATAAAATACAAAAAATTGTTGTGGCCTCAATTAGCGCTTCCTCAATTAGCGATGAAACCATTCTCCATCTATGGTATAGGATCTTGATGGGAGGTAATTAGTTATTGATTTTGTTATGATACAACTAGATATAAAATTAATCCTCTCTGTTGATCTATTTTGAAGCAATACCAGAAATAATTTGAACTTGGTTTAATTTCATATATCCACTAAAATCAATTGTATTGTATTTTTTTAAAAATAATTTCTATATTATTTTTCTCCCTTTCAGTAATCGTGTTTGTGCCAGTGAAATAAATGCTCTTAGCGATCGAGTTGCTGAATTTCGAATGGCACAGACAGAGATAGTTGCCTGTTCTGTTGATTCCCACCTCTCCCATCTTGCCTGGGGGAAATTGTCCAGGCAAGATGGAGGTGTTGGAAATCCCAAAATACCATTACTTGCGGATCCGACACATTCTATTGCTAAGGATTATGGTGTTCTCTTGCCGGATAAAGGTCATTCATTGAGGTAAATATTTAAATTTTATTTATTTTATCTTATTTTTATTGATACTCATTATAATATAATTCTTCTTATTTGACAAAAACATGTAATAAATTAAAGTGGTTAAGTTCTTCTGGATAGTTTGAATATGTCTATTTATTTGTTTTTTAGCCAACTGTGGGTTAAAGCTGTTTGAATTTTCATTGAATTTGGCTGTATTGTTCAAAAATGAGTAACTCAATTTCTTCCTAGGAGAGGAATGATTCATCTTTATCAATTTTAAGTTGGCTAAATAAAGTATAATTTTGAAGTTTATGGAGTTAGGCACTATTTTATTCTTGTTAAATAATGAGGAATTTTTATCAAACATCAGATTCGTCTGCATCTCAGTGTTATATTTTTGATAAGTTTTTTTTTCTCTTGCTACCACAAAATGTTGGGTGAATCCTTAAGTTCGTTTAGATTCAATAAAACGAAACAAGTTTTTTTTCATGCCAAGAATAAATTTTATTCAATGATGTATTCGCCGTTTTTTTTTTAATGACTTCATGACATCTTTCTAACAATTTCATTATTCCGCTCTCCTAAAACATCTGGTGTTTAGAAGGTAATAATTGATCAAATTTTGGTGTGCGGTTATTGCAAAGTGTGGTCTAGCGTTGTCATGGTGGAATATAACACCTTTGCGATTGACTAGTCCTGGGCATTTCTTTCCCAATGCTTGGTCCGATTTTGTTAGTTTCATGCAGTCTATATCTATCTCGTTGGCACTACATCCATGACACTTGAATTACTGTATTGGATGATTGTTTCTTTTCAGTGTTTGTTACTGAAACCATATAATTGAATTTAGTTTACCATATGATGGAAGTAAATAGTTTTTGTACACTTCATAAATTGTTAGAGATCAGTTCCTAAAGAAACTATCAAAGGGTAAGTTCTTAAACTCTGCGCTAATTCCATTATCGATGGACAGTGATTTAGAAACAACTTGCTGGATTGTAGCAAAAAATTATCACCTCTGGAAAGTTATAAAATCAATCAAAAATAAAAAATGTATTAACTAAATATTTACCTACTGAATTAATGAGTTTCAAAACAGAAATAAATATAGATAGAAAGTAAATGGAAGATAAATATATAAAGTAAATTGAGAAATAACAACATACTAAGGTTACATATAGTGAATCTATCGATCCCAAAAGCTTCTGGAACTACTGAGCCATTGATGAATATAGGAACGTACTGAATTCCATTTATGGGTTCCTCAATAAACGGCCCAATGGATTTCTGAAGCCCATGAGCAAACTCAGCACTGAGTTTAGGAACATGCCCGTACTAAAACTATTGTTCTTTTAATATTGTAGTTGTTGCTCATTCCATCTTTATAGAACTTTTTTTTTAACATAGATTTTAATTCTTAAGTTGTATAAGCCAACAGGCATATATTAAGTAAATATACTTGCACTAAATATTGTCAAAAATTCCTTATTTATTAATGTGATTTATTAAACTTTGATCCAGGGCAACATACATAATCGATAAAAGAGGTATATTGAGAGCTATGAACATGTATGACACCGTTATCGGAAGGGGAATTGATGAATTATTGAGAACCATAAAGGCTCTTCTTTATTCTGACGAAACGGAGGAAGCTGTTCCAGCTGATTGGTCCCCTTCGCATCAGGGACAGTGTATGGCTAATGTTAAGCATGTAATAATTTATCTCAAACAAATCATTTCTTGTCTTGTGATATATTACTTCTTAGTGATTAATATCGTACTTATATTACATTAATTGAAAATAAGATTGGTTGGGGGGATCAGTCAAGAATTTTTTTTATATTTTTACTGATCACCTAACCATCCTTCTTTTCTATTATTCACTACATTCAACCATCAGCCCACGATTATATTACATTAATGTTATAGATCGCCTTCATTCAGCACTGTCTAGATCTTGAAATAACTTTCTTTATCCTTATAACTTTTGGCATCCGAAACCATTAATATTAAATGAAAAAAATTATGATTATTACTTAAAATTAAATATTGAGTACTAAACAGTTGACTGCTGTATAATATTCAGTAAGGAGTTGGTCCGGGGTCATAGAAATACTTAAAGTAGTGAAAAATTACTTTATTTTAAGCCAACATTTCGACCCAATTATGCAGGTCTTCTTCAGGGCTAGAACAAACAACAGGATATATAAAATTGTAGGAATTACACGATATTTAGATAGAAATTATAAACAGTGTGAATATATCAAGAACAATAAACTATATAAACAGAACAAATTAAGTATAACTCAATAACTTGACCCTAAACTAAATTAAATAAAACTGATAACAATAATTGTTGATAAGAAAAATTGAATGTAATAATGATGATCAATCATAATTACGTATATTATTCATCTTCCTTATTACATCCAATTTTTCCATTCTACAATTATTGTTACCTGTTTTATTTACTTTAGTTTAGGAACTGGTTATTTAGTTATACTTCATTTGCTCTGTTTATATAGTTTATTGTTCTTAATATTTTTATTTACTTTCTATTCACACTATTTATAATTTTTATATCCTTTTGTATCTTTTTGGATCTAGTCCTGAAAAAGACCTTTATAGTTGGGTCGAAACGTTGGTTCAAAATAAAATAGTTTTTCACTATTTTAAGTTTTTTTTATGACCGCCACCATCTCCTTCCTGAATAATAAAATTAAATATTACAAATAATCTATTCTAAAATAAATACTTTTATAACCTCTTCAATTTCTTTTTTTGTAATTATATTCTTAAATTTTAAATAATTTTTGTTATAGTTACATTTATCTTTTTTTTTTTAATTTTTCTGTCCATTTAGATATTGAATCAAAAAAAAAAAAAAAAATTGGAAAGAAAATGATATCAAGGAGTAGAATAGTGTCTAATCGTTCATTATTGTCTATAATAATTATTATTATAACTTTTTTCTTTATTATAATAAAAAAAAAAATCTGACCTTTTCCCTCGAAATTAGGTTTTACTTTTCTAATTGTTGTAAAATTTAACAATATCGGGTTTATTCCAAGTCTATTGTTCCAGTTTATTTATTTTTAAGATGGCAAACCATCAAATCCCAGGTGATTTAATGAAGGCGGAACTCAGTATAGTATAGGGGTGTTCATGTAATAGTGCTAAGTATTGTAAACCTCAAATGTGTAAAATTAGAGAAAATTATTTATGAAATGACTGTGGATTGATGGTTGACTGTAGAGAATAATTAAAGAGAAGAATGGTTAGGGTGATAAATAAAAAAAAATATATATATAATAAAAATAAATTTACTTATTTATTTTTATAATTTGCTTTTTTGACTGATCACCCCAACCAATGTTTCAATTTTTTTTTCTAATTTTTCAAAAATTATAAAAATAAATACGCTTATTTATTTTTATAATTTGTTTTTTTGACTGATCACCCCAACCATTCTTCTCTTCAATTATTTACGAAATGTGTGTTGAATATGGCCGCTAGCACTGTCAATTTTAACACAGCCTTTCAGGTTCTTGTAAAGTGTTTCTAACTTCGTAAACGCACTGGGAATGTTGCAGTATTGGTAAGGTTTTGATGTGTTTCATTCTTTGTTATTTTATGTGTACAATATCCACAGAAATGTAATATAAAGATAGCTAGATTTTCATCTATATACTCATCTAGTCCTTTGCCTTCTAAATCTTCATTCATGCTTTCTAATAAAGCATTTTTAACCTAATAATCCAGCAACTCAGTCTTTTCACTTTGTCATTATATAAATAAATCAAAACGTTAGTAAATCAATTAAAAACTCGCAAACTTTTTTTACAGTACAGGCATAACCTTATTATAACTAATAACACTTTAGCACGTTAGCACAGACAGGTTTTTTACCATTCTAAATTTTTGCTGACTTAGCATGATAGCACATACCCCTATTATTCCAAGACGATTGTTGACATTTGACATTACTATTTGCCATATTGTTTTAAATGTAGTTTAAATTAATGGTTTTAATGTTAATTGATTGCAGTTTTCATTTGACCTTATCTTGGTCATTGATGAAGATAAAGAAAAATACAAAATATTGTGGGATTGTGGTGAAAAAAAAAATATATAGCTGTTTCATTGAATTATTGATATTTTTGTATTTATAAATAATAAACCGTATTAACATAATCTTAGTATTTTTTAAAATATGATATTCCATATGCCTCCTTCTGTAAGGCAGTTCTTGTCAGAATTGCGGGTTGATATTACCAAGAATTAACTTTTTATTTTTTCTTATAATTACTTTACCAACAAATCTAGTTAGATATTCTTATCTTATCAGATGGTTATGTCTTATAAATCTTATTAGGTGTCACTTTTATGCATTTTCTTAATATTTAACTAACTAATATGGTTCATGTAGAAGATAACCGATAAATATTGTTAATGAAAAGAAACTTTAATTAAATCTTCAAAATGTTTAAATCCAGATATAATATTCCCTGTAAAAGTTATTTGTCCATTTTTCTTTATTGCAATTTTTCAGTATTTATAATTGAAAGTTTTCAGTTATCCTCATTCGCTATTATCCTTTTATGATGGCTTACGTCATGTTTAATGATAAAATTTTGTGTTTGCTTCTCTTATGATAAAAGCCCATGGACATTAATTTGTAATTAGATATCATGAATTCAATGGCAATTTTAAGATTATGTCCTCTGTTAAATATGCTTACTATAATTTAATTTTTTATTTACTGTGTATTTTATTGATTTTATTTAAATTTTTTTTCCAGGACCAATCTGCGTTGAGTTGAACTTGTTTCACCTTCCTCAGTCCTCTTAGTAATTTTCTATCCTTCGTGTATTCTAAGAAACTTTATACAGACCATTTGTAAGACAACGAAGGGAAAACTCTCTTTTAATGAGCCAACCTGTAAATATATCAGTTTTAGCTTTATCTTGTACAATATGTTTTAAAAAATTATTTATTATTGAAGCAATGGCATGTTGAAATACTAATATGGTGTTTAATCTACAATTGAAAAAAAAAAAAAAAAATCAAATTTGTATGTAAATTATATAATTTTAAGCACTTATTTCCTCCATGCATGTAAATAGATTATTTATCATTATGATAATAAATTATATTTTATAAATATTTTTAATATATGCCTCAGATAGGTCAAATCATGGTGTATTTAATTTTTAATAAATAAGGAAATGTTATTTCTCTGTTCAACTGTAATTGTTTTGTGTGTTTTTTCCATGACACATGTCTCTTATCTTTTTACTAAAGTAATTTCTGCTCTTAACATTAATCACCAAGCAGTCAGTAAGTCGTAACCTATTTTATAAAAACAGCATGTTTATAAGTGGCGATTTGGTATGAAATTCCTTCCAGAAATTGATGAGATTTTAAGTTATAGATTTCTATTGACTGTGCGATGTAAAGCGTAAAGCTTTCAATAACTCTGTTAAATTTTCTTTTGAAGCTAAGGAATCCATTTTATTCATTAATGTTTTATTATTTCTGCTTAATTCTAGCTAATCGTGGATCTTAGGTTTCGGTACGTGGTTGATCGAAATTTAAATGAAAAGCCTGGGTTATATAAAATACAATTAACAATAATGTTTTATTATATTATAGTACACTTAAAACTAGAACAAATTCTTATTTTCTTAGTTTTCCCTGTGATAAGTGTCTTTCCCAGGTATGCCTGTTCCTTCAGAATCACCTAACCAAGGGTATTTGTTGGGGCACTCTCTGCAAGTCTCAAGATACCTGAAAAAAAAAAAATTATTGATATTTAATTATATAACCTTCCACATGAATATGAACATCTTTATTACTACATTAATTTCAGTTCAGTTCTTCAATATTGATAACCGAGGATGGTAACTCAAGTAGTAATTTTATTAGATAACTAAAAATGTACCAATTTATATGAAGTTGTATCCTTTCTCAGCTACATTAACGATAAATCTCTTTTCATTTAGTTCATGTTGAACTGTTTTAAGGAAATGTACACTTGTTTGCATTTATATATTTTTGAGTCCTGTTGATGTCTAGATTGGCAAAATTGTTATTTATTTCCTATCGTTGGAGTGGCTGTAGGCTTTGTTTTGAAACTTTTCATTCATAACGTATCAATAATTATGGTCTCTTTTTTTAAAAATATTATTTTATTAATTAGTGAAAATTTATTATAAATGATTTAAATAAAATATTTAATCCTTGTCAGAATTAAATCTGGTTTTAATTTATCTATGATATTTAATTGAAATAAAATAAAATTTAAATAACAAAGTCTAATATGAAAATAGGAGCAAAAAAAACAACCTTTGGACAAATATTTTCTTTGTTCTCTCCATTACTCCCCTTGCTCCCCACTAGGGATGGACTGTTCCAGAGTGAATGGTCAGCAGAACAGATTCCACCATCAGAACAAAACTAGATCTTTAGGCGATTTCGTTCTGCCAAATTGCTAAATCGTAATGGATTTTGTTCTTTTATTTTCCTATTGACCAAGAGAATTTTTAAGGAACATTAATCACACATATACATGAAATTTATTAACAAATAAAGAGTTTAACGGTCGAATTATATTTAAAAATCAAAACAAAAACTAGCGAATTTGTAATATAAAATTTCATATACATTTAAAAACAAAACCAGTAAAACCGAAATATATCAATGTCCCTAAAAAGTCAAGTTTTTTTTTTTTTGTTCATTTCTATAGTTTTCCTCGTTTGTATTGATTTTCTTCTTTCTTGATAATGTTTCTATCAACCTTTTAAATGGTTTTACTATTATGCATATCTGCTTCATTATTCTCTATCTCGTTCAAAGTGTTGTTCGGAATGGAGAAGAAACAGAACAAAAACTGGAACAAATTCGAGTGGTGGAACAGAACTAGCCGTTCCGTTTCAATTGGCAATCAGAATTGCCCATTCCTCCTTAATTGTCCCACAGTCACTTAGTTTATGAGCACATAAGTTGACAAGTCATTGACATTTATATTTTAAATTTTGTGCAGGTTGACTAAATCTCTTCAGAGGATCATCAAAATGAAAGTACTTTAAAAGAGATTGGGATGGAGGATGAGAACGACAAGCGATGCTTTCATAAACTTAAACTTCTTAGCTTTGATTTAATGTATTATTAAGATTAAACTTCTACTGTACCTTGTCGTACTGAAGTTCGCCTCTGGTGGCTTAAAAGTGAGTGCGCACTTATTTGGCAGGTTGCATGGTGGCGGAGGTAGGTTGTCTTTCTTATTACATTTCCAAGGTTCGAACGTTGTCAATTCCTTTGTAGGATGGGGGTCCGTTATCCATGTTAATGCTTGAGTAACAGTTACAAACCATACATCCTCCCTAAAAAAAAATTAAGTAAATAAATAAAGAATGAAACTTAATTCATATAAAAATAAATACATAATTTTAAGGGTGATCTATTTTAATTTTTTTAAAAACACATTTCGGATTATTTGTGAAGACAGGTACAGTGTATTTATTAAGAAAATTCCACCCGAATAACAGGATCTGTATAGAAGGGAAATCGTTCCCGAGAGTAGAAAAATTCGAATACCTTGCCTCCACTATAATCAGATAATAGACCAGCATATAACTAGCATAAATAGAGCTTTCTTCTCCCTTTTAAAAGTATTAAAATTCCGATAAATCTCAAATTATGGTTGTACAATGCTGTGATTGTTAACAATTCTAATATATAGCTGTGAAACCTGGACACTAACCAGCACTCCAGAAAAAAAATTAGAAGATTTGAGAGAAAAATCCTCCACATGATAACCGGAGCAATCTGGGATCAGAGTACCAACACATGGAGAAAAAAAGACCAATAAAGAATTGCTTACAGAAACTGGTCAATCAATAATCCATGGTATGAAGGCACAGAGGTTAAAATGGGCAGGGCATGTAGCTTATAGCAATCCATCTGGAAGCCTACAGTAACAATGAATGCCTCAATAGAAGGCAAAAGACCGCGTGTAAGATCAAAAAGCAGATGGATAGATAAAATCAAGAAAGATGTAATAGAACTGCATGCAGATAACAGGAAAGAAATATCTCAAGACAGGCAGAGATGGAGCAGGCTTGTTAAAGCGGCAAAAGATCTACAAAGTCTGTAAAGCCAACAGAAAAAAATAAAAACCTTTTGAAAAGTTTAATTTATAGATCACCTCTTTGCACAACCGTAGACCAAGAAACAGTGCTTTCCCTAGAATAGTACTGAACCCAAGACCCTAGGTTTTTTTTTTTTTTTAAATATTACTTAACTTTAAAACCTATTCCATTAAAGTTTTATTTTAAAAAATATTCACTTATAAAGATAAAACGTTTTTAGTTAAAAATCAATCTTATTGCCTCAAATAGCACCTCTTAAGATTAGAAATTATATTATGTGGTCATTTCTCCATAACATAAGCTATTTAATTTAAATACTTTATTAAAGTTTTATTTAAACTTAAGTAAAACAAATACTTTATAAGATGAAACTCACAGATTCATTGCCCAATCGATGAACTTGTGAAGCCCCCCTTCCAACTCTTTTATTTGAAACCAATTGGTGTGGAATGGCATCATGTATGGTGCTCGGTTTTGGTCGTAATACCTGTAAAAACATTATTTTAGTTTATGAATTATTTAATGTAAATATAATTCCTATATATGTATATATATATATATATATATATATATATATATATATATATATATATATATATATATATATATATGTATATCTTGAAATTAATTACTTTAATTTTTTGTTTTTTAAATGGGTATAAGTCAAGGAAACCTTTATAGCTCCTGGTTACTGAAGATGAAAAGAAAGTTATATATAATATTTTGTAATGTATGCCAACAGGAGCCAAATTACTTCTTATTTTAATGTTAAGAAGTAAAGCAAACTTTATACTGATTGACTCAGCTATGACCGATAACTGACATAATAATGGTTATCATAATTCATAACTGATGTGAATACATTATTCAGACTTTTTTCAAATAATATTGTGAATTTATTATATTATTAAAGTGTTAAAAAAAAAAAGACAAAAAAGTATAATAATTATATCACACCTCTCAAAATCTTCTCTCAGCCATTCAAATACCTCATCTGCATCATGATTATGTAAGACACATTGATCCAAGTACGGACAATGGCCTCCTTCATAAGATTCGACATAATGAGCATTCAGAGGAACTTCCCAGATACCTAGAAGAATATTGAAAAATTACATTTCTCAAGAAAAGTAAACATATATTGTAGGAAAAGGCTTAATTTCACTTATATATATATGTATGTCTGTACCAATCAAGGCTATTTGTTATTACAGTACTAAAGAGGATCCCGTTGTTAGTAAAAGAAGAAAAAACGTCAAAAATAACACTAAAATGTAGTTTACTGAATTATAGCTGATTAATGGCATAATACTCGTTTAAAATAATTTTATATATATTGTAATGTTCTCTTTCTCTCCAAAATCAAACAACGAGTTTCTTTTTCAATATAACATTTATTTTTACACATAGATATAAATTTTCAGGTTGGGTTCTGACGACTAAACACTCATTCAAAATTAAATAACTGTAAGCTACACTAATTCACTAATTACTGACTACACTAATTATATATATTAAATTCATAATTGTTTTCAAATCCATTGATTGTCCCAGTCTAAACTTTTTGGCTCGATCTCTCTGTCTATATAAATGGCATTGTTGGCACTCACCCAAATGTTTACGCCTCAGTGTCAGTGAAATAAACTATTCTTATTTATGAACGTTCCGTTTTCAGTACCATTGAATTAATTTCTGCTAGTTCTTTCTTCCATCTTAAAGTAATCACCACTAGTGGCCTCTATCAACACTCGGACCGGCTAGGACTCCTCTTAGATCTTCTCGACTTGCTGGCTGGTCACCTTCTCTCGTTATGTGAGGCTTGCTTCCCCCACCATAAGCACTTCCTCTCAGTAGTTCGTGCTGTTGCCACTTTCGCACCAATATTCAAATACCTATGTAATGTTGACATTACAATATATATATCTATTTTGAACTCAGGTCTTCCTCTACGTTGTCCGTACATCGTAATCTAGACCTGCCTCCTCCTCTTTCTGCATCTGGTCGTCCTTCCATTATTTGCTTGGGGAATCATTTTTGCTCTGTCCGGTATACATGGCCCTGCCATCTTATTCTCTCCTTTTAAAAGCTAGAAACTATATCCGGTTTCCCAGAGATTTCCTTCTTTGGTAGGACCATATATTCTTCTTTGAATCTTTCTCTCCCATGTACTCAGCAACCTCTCTTGCTCCTTGGTTAGAGTCCATTCCTCACTAGAGTTGACAACAGGACGAAGTAAAGTTTTAAATACCTGTATTTTGAGGTTTCGGGGTATCTCTTTGTTTTCGGATACCTTTCGGAGAGTGACCAGTAGCATTTATTTCCGTTCATGATTCTTGCTTATTTATTCATCTTCTTAATGTTCACAGATCAATTAAATAAAATTATTAATAAAAATAAGTTACCTATGATACAATTGAACTAGGCTTAGTAAAAACCAATAGCTAAACTTTATTAATAAGTAAATTTAGAATAAGATAGTTTGATAAATTACCTGGAAACGATTTGGTTGGGCAAGTCCCGGATTTACACTCATGAGGAATTTTATAATCAAGTGTATAAGGCCAAATTGGGATTTTGCTTGGTGGTATTCCAACAGAACTATCGTATATGAATCCAAAATCCTCTATCACCTGAAAGAAATATTGTTTAATCACATATGCCATATGAATTTTTAATATTTTTAAATGGTGTAGAGATGCTTCACCGTGATTATAATATGAGAAGAAGTTGGGAGGTGCGGTCAAATAAATACTATATATTAAAATAGTATTTTATTGTTTATGTCGAAGTTTCGACCCACTTTGTAGGTCTTCATCAGTACCTGATACCACGTCCTGATGAAGACCTTCAAAGTGAATCAAAACGGCATGAACAATAAAATACTATTTTAATATATAGTATTTATTTGACCGCATCTTCCAACCAACTCCTCATAATATTGTTAAAAACTAAGAAATATGTTATGCAGATTTTTTATTTTACCTGATATTGTGTATTTCTTCCTGGCTTCAGGAAAGGAGCTCTCATTCCTACTATGTCTGAGCGAGATATATTTGCAAAATGCCTCAAAATTTCTCTCATACCCAGCATCTCTCCGACCCATTCTTCATAACCTTTGTCTTGAAGGCCTTGTTGCAATCTGGAAATACATATGATTATGTGCTTTTAATTGCAATCAGAGTATTTCCAAACTTTAATAGTGTATTTGGCTTCAGTATTAATAAAATTGTAATTGAAATTTAAAGGTAAATATAATAATTTTTGTTTCTTTGCTCAATTATTACATTACAGTTCATGGCTGTTCTTAAGTTATCTATATCATTAAATTTGTATGTGTATTTGGAGTAAATACAACACTGTATTATTATTTTTAAAACTTACGATATAGTTTCTGTTCCTATTTCGTGTCCATCATGTGCCAAAGACTGTACCATGTTGTAATTGCAGTATTCATGAGAAACAAAAAATGTTCCTCTTATAGGACATCCATTTGGGTTCTGTCGGTCGGGTGAGAACACTCGCTTATAATGATCATAGTTATTTAAATTGACTGCTCCATCGAAGGTCAGCAGTATGATTTGTGGCGTCTGTAAACAAGAAAATGAGAATTATAAATAAAATGTTATAAACTATCTTAAATATGTATTCATAATTGGAAATTAATGTTAATATTTTTATTTATATTCAATATAGATTTAAGTACTAGGTTTATTTATTAAATAGTTTTGTTTTTTCCTGAAATTAATATAAAGTGGACATTTTCATTAAATTATTTTCTAAGAAAAATACTTCTAATTTTCTTTCATTATTTAATTGTTCGTCAAAAATTATTATCTGCTTACATAGAATAAGTAAATAAATTGTTTGACGTTTTGTGTTCAAACAATCTATTCGCAATAAAATATTTCTTAATCACAGTCATACTTAATTCAGGTTCTTACTCTCTGACTGATGAACCCTATTCCCTGCAGGGTTATAACAAAAATCATGTTTCAAAGTCAATAATGGAAAAAGAATAATGAGCAAGGATGGCTAAATATGTTTTTTTTTACCAATGGAAATGTCAATATTAGTGGACATATGTGAATAGAAATGTTTATTTTATTTAAATCCTTTAAAGAAGAGAAGAATAGTTGGGGTGAACAGTCAAATAAGAAGGCAAAAATAAATGATAATATTTATTTTGACATTTGTCGACGTTTCGACCTGAAGTTCAGGCCATCATCAGGGCTAAGAAAAGAACAAGATAACAAGGTATGAGAAACATAAGTAGTGTAGGTAAAAAAAAAAAATTAAATTGAAATGCAGTTGTTAGAATAATGACAATAGTAAGAACTAATAGATAAATGATAATAACCGGTACAGTTTACTTCATCATTCCACACGGTGATGATGGCCTGAACTTCAGGTCGAAACGTCGGCAAATGTCAAAATAAATATTATCATTTATTTTTACCCTTTTATTTGACTGATCACCCAAACTATTCTTCTCTTTATTTTTCACGACAGTCAATCATTTACACACAATTATGAATCTTTTCTTTTATGATAATTTAGTTTCACTTTTGGCCTATTTTACCTCTTATCTTAATCCTTATGTAGCTAATGTTTTCATTTATTTTTATGAACAAGAAAATGCTATTACCTTCTCTGGATCGAGACGCCCAGGTATAATTGTACCATCTCTACTACAAAAGCAGAATGGGAGTTGACATTCTGCAGGTTCACACTTCACCGCCAAATCGACTGGTGGTTCAGTGCTAGGGGCTATTGCTGAAAAGAATAGATTCCTGGTATAAGAAATATACGTACTCATGTAAATTATTGAAATGAATCTTTCGAAATTACTTACTTGTTGGTAAAGGACCACACCTAGCCTCCGCCTTGAACGTGCATAATTTGTTGATATCATCGAAGTACAACCCCGATGGGCACCTATTCAGGTAGGGATAGTTGTCCACGCACTGTTAAGGTTAAAATTAAGTCATTATTAAAAGTAACAAATTCTAAAATATTTCTATAATTTACCTTACAATTAATCCAGCCAATCTTTGATTTGAAAATTAAATGATTTAGTCCTTTCTTTGCTTTTGATTGTTGTTCATAAGGTAAAGATATTACTAGGGTTATTTACTAATTGAATCAAACATTTATTCATCTTTTCACCATCTAACTTTACATTTTTGAAACCGTTAATTCGTAAGATAGAAATATAATGACATAACAGCTTTTTGGGATTTAACAGAAAGTTTGGCTTATTCATAAATATTTATTAATCAAAAGAAAAATATTCTTTAATAATGTAATACAGTTTTCATGTTAAAACATTAAAACAATACATACAGCTGAATATATAGTATCAATTTAATTAATGTCCTTGCATGATTACTACATATAAAGGTCGTCGAAAAAAATAAAGAAAGTATAGCCTTAACATTTTTTATATGATTGGACGATTTTATTGGCGTGCTTAGCTAAGCTTGAGGATATCTTAAGAGGACTTGTCTATCCAAGATCTGTCATTATTTTTTAGCTTGTAATTATTTAAAAAGAGAAAGGGGAATAGCCAATATATTGAGTGGTACATCAAGATTGTTGAAGGTTATTTATTCACAAAGTAAAGTGGGGTGAATGCTTATAAATAAATTTAGAGGATGAGTAGAGATCATAATTACTGCTCAAACTAATATTTAGAAATTTAGTTATATCTCTAGTTTGGAAGAAAACCAGTATAACTCAAAAATTAAGAGTTGATATATATATTCACATGTTTAGTCACAAATCTATTAGAATTTAATTTTTAGGTTGTACTGATATTTTTCGAAACTACTGATATGTTCTTAATAGTGATTGAGAAAGATTTTGGTTCAAAATCTATACTTTCAAAATTTCTAGGCCCCTATTTCTTGCTTACAATATACCCAATATTTTATCTGTCTAGTTTTGAATACAATGGCTTGATAGAGGCAGTTACTACAGTTCTCAAGTTAATCATATTATTGCATTACCATATATTGTTGTAAGTATTTAAAGGTATATATACAGGATTTAGTATTTTGATACTAGTTTTGTTAATGAATAAATAGTTTCTAGTTTTTTATTATTTATCTTATGATCGCTCCTTCCAGTTAAAAAAAATTGCTTATTTAAAAGGTTTATATATGGTATGAATGTGCTTCATATAGCTCTAATATAAAGAAAAATCTTTAAATTAATGTCTGTATAAGATAAATCTCTAATATGTCTCACACGAAACTAGCTTATTCTAAATCATCCTTAATTGATTAATTTTTTGCAACAACTAGTGATTTACTATGAACTAGCAATGAAAAAGATTCACATATAGGAACCTCATTGAAACAAAATGGCTGCTTCTTTGCATTTACCGCACTGTCTCTATCAAGCTTCTGTAGTCTTGAAAGAGCGTTTGAAGCTCTTCACCAAACAATTATAACAGGAAGTAAAAAGGGAGTTATGATGTGAAATAATAAAATAAATACATTATGACTGGAATAAAGAATAAGTAAATTGATAGAGCAGAAGTATATAGTACCGTAGTAACCTGTAACAACCTGATAGAACCTCCTGCAGGTTGCCGGATCTGCGAAGTTGCCGTTTCCGGCTCCTTCGGGGCAAGTGAATTCAGCTTCTTCTTTCTTGTCTTCTTTCTTTTGCCCGCTGACTGTAACAAAAAAAAAAATAGAAATTGAAATTATATATTTATTTTGATTGGTAAAGTTCTTTACTTTCATGTTTCGTTCAAGTGTGTCAAAGGAAAATGGATTTTTTTTTTTTTTTTTTAAATAATAAATGTGGCCCAATATTGTAAGGTTGTAAGTCAACCAGGTTTTGGCTTGAGTACAAAAAAAAAAAAAAGAATAATATGCATTTTATCCATTATTTAGCTAAATTCTTTATAAACTGGAAATATAAAATTATTTTTGGCTAGAAATTTAAGTCTAAAACTGCTTTATGTTACTGAATTATAGAGCTTTGAAGTTTGTTATACATGGCAAATAAAAAATATTTGTAAATTGTTAGATCAAAATGAATTTTGTGAATGAGACAAAATTTATTTTGATTTAGTATGGTTAGTAACTAATAATAATAGGGGTGATTTCATTGGAATAAATATGTGAAGATAATTAAGGGGAAAATGAAAATAGTCCGACCAAATATAGGAAATAACGGTATGTCAGGCATGAGGAAGTTCCTAACAGCACTTCTTTCCTTGCTTGATTCAGCTGGCTTAATTAAGGAAGGAGATCTCTCATCCAGAACCTTTTTTAGTTTTCTCTTCAAATGACTAGGAAGGTCATTCATTGCTACATCCTGAATTTATCTGTAGTTATGGTCGTTTAAGTTATAAAATCATTGGTAACGAGTCTCAGTCAGCTGTTTATTTGTGTATCAGTTTGTAGTGGTTTGTTAGTCATGAACCAATGTACTCATCATTAATGAGTAATAATATTTTTTAGTGATAATTTGAAGGTTTTGCAAGTTGGTCTTGATAGTAAAATAAAAAAGCAAAACAATATTTTTTTAATTTTAATAAGATTTCTATAGTCATATTTGTCAAAATTTTTGTTTCACTAATAAATGACTGTGTGAAATATTTTTATTAATAGTGTGGGTCATTATTAATAAATTTGATATTGTTATTGATTTTTATTATTTATCATTCAACTATATTTTAAGAACTGGGAGTGTATAATATAATATATACTTATGTAATATAATATGGATATTGTAAAAAATGAGAAGTGGGATAGCTCAGTGGTTGGGTGCTGAGCTTCCAATGCGCTGGTTTCCAGGCTCAAATCCTTGCTTATGGCAGATAAATTATTTATTCTGTTTCATCCGCTCTAAATTGACCCTGAGGTCGGAAGACCCTCCTGGGGCACAACCAGCATCTATAGAGTGCCTATCTTTATTAAACAATTGATTAAGGCGGAGAACCTTGCATTTGAGTATGATCTCGGTCAAATGACCTCCTTACACAACTGTTGACCAAGATACAATACTATCCCTAAATAGTACTGAATCCAATACCCTTCATGGGTTGTTGTGTACAAGTTTTTTTTTTTTTCATTTTTTATATTGTAAAATATAAAATGATAAAATTTATAGTAAAAAGCATAAAGATATACATATACATTACTTGAATAAAGACCTCTATATTTTAATTGTTATAATGTATTGCAATTGATTATACGTTCATTTCTTGTATTTCAACTAGTTGGATATTGTGATTGATTGTGATTGTAGCAACCCAGCACAACACTGCTCGATAAATAAAGTAATTATCTCTTTATTTTTTTAATAAAGTATTTAAAAATAAATTTTTATAAGTTAAGATACCAATATTTCCCCCTTATTTCTTTATGGAGAAGCTGTTTCAGGATGCAGGAACTTGAGACGGAGCAACAGCCTCACAGGCTAAAGTAGTTTCTTAATATTGAGCTAATGATTCTGTGATTTATGTAAATGTGCCAGGGCTGTCCGGGGAAAGCCAGTTCCCAGAAGACTAGGGAAAGGCAGATCTCCTTCTTCGAACCTCCTATGAAGGAGAAACAATACAATACTGTTTGTTATCGGGGAAGGGGCCGAACTGAACCAGTTAAGATTACAAAATAATTTCTCAAATTATTCTGTGTAATAATACATGAACATAGATTACTTGAGAAATAATTTTATTCTCCCAAAATAATTTTGTTTTCATTTATTTATATATCCAAGGATACTACTATATTATAAAAACAAAAAAGGAATTAAAGATAAACAAGAAAATAATGCTCTAAAGACAAATAATTAATTAATGATATTTTTACCACAGGTGTAAAAGTGACAGATTTTAAAATCTTAACTTAAATTAATCTAGATTTTATCAATTCTTTCAGTTTTTTTTTTACTGTATAATAAATTAAAATTTATTTAGTGGTATAATTTTTTTTTTATCTCCTTGTTCTAAAAATTTGTGTATATTATATACCATGTTTTTTTTGACAGCTTAAAGATTTCACTATTAAATATCTACAGGTTTGTGATTACCATTTCAATTTTAATTAGTGGGAATTTTATAATTGGTTGTAGTTTGCTATGCTGCATTTTATTTTAAATTATTACAACAATCAATTATTTTGAAAATTGAGCTGTGAATGTTTGAATTGGCATTTGTGAAAATTTTGAATTTTTGAAATTCACTTAACATGCCTGTCAGTCCTAACAGTAATGTTTTTATTTATTCTGATAGATTTCCAATTATGAAGATGGCCGAAATTTCATGAAACATGAAAGTCCTGCACGAATAAATTTAAGAATGCTCTGGGAATGATAAAGGTTCAATATCTGATAAAAATTTTTTTTTTTAAATTCCAAAGGTACTTTTATATATAAATGATTGGAATCGTCACAGTTTTGACAGGTTACTTGTGTCCAAACACAAAGTTATTAAAACACTTCTTTTGATGGTACATTTATCAATATGTAAAGCATTTAGTTGACTACCCACTGATATTAAAGAGCTTTACTGTAAAGATGTTTTGCCAGAATACAGTCTTACGATCAGTACTTGTCATTGGCATAAGAAAACTTCAGTTTATTAAAGTCCAATAATGCCTTCCAAAATAATTAAGCTTGAGAATTTCATGGTTATCTCTCGCCTTGACATTTAATTTTGTCTATAAAAATAAATTTTGGGTATTAAAAAAAAATTAAGGATTAATTAATCATAAATACAAGTATTTACATTCATAAAAAAAAAAAGGTTTTGATCATTTATTAATATTTTTGTAACCATCACTTGAAATATTGTGTTTAAGCATTATGGTTTTTTAATATGCTACCAAAATGAACTCAAAGAAAAGTTAGAAAGTGAATGGGAGATTGGACAGAATTATTTCCCATGTGAGTGCAAGAATTTCTTTTTTATTACTTTGTTATATAAACTGCTTTCTCTACTCCGAAAACCGCATTCTTTATAGCGATATTTTTTTTTTTGTGATTTAAATTTACGGCGGTATTTTTTTCAAGTAAATATAAAAGGAATAATAATGTCATAAATATATGGACATTAAAATAAAAAAAATGTATACACTTTATCTGAATTATGAGAGCGATCAACGTATAAAATACGTAGCATAAACCATTGTTCTTGAAAATTTGATTGCCAAGTTTAAATTTTTTTTTTTACAAGAATTCGGTTCGGCGACTTCCATATAATTATAATTTGGTTTGCTTTAGAACCTTTGAGGAAATCTTATATATATCCTTTAGGTTATCTTGGATCATTTTGTTTGGAAACAAGTTACTCCATTCATATAAATATCCATTCATGTTATATTAACTTGAAGTGAAAGCCCCTAAGGGCAGTGAAACATCCATGAAACAGTTTTGAGATGTCGTGATGCCTTATGTAATATCATGTGGGCTGTGAAATACTGACTTGTTCCAGCAATTTTTATACGAGATAATGCTAAAACAGAATGTGGGAAACAGCGTTTCTCAGTGAAAGGTCAGAGATGTGGGTGTTCCATCTTGATAAATTATTTACTACGAACTTGTGTATTATGGAAATGCTTAAGTGGGTGGTTTTTATAAATACTTTTCATTCTTTAATATCTGCTGAAAAAATGAAAGAGCATGCCGTAAGTATTTAGTTTATCACTAAATTATTTAAACACTTAATTCTTTTGAACTTTGAGAGTTAAATTAATAATTTAACCGAAAACTTGAAATTTTGAAACTAAAAAACTGCAAACAATATTAATTAATTTTATTTTAATAGATTTAATTCCTTTATTTCTGTTGAAGAGGGGGTTATTAACAATGACTATTGCCAGTTGATATTGTAAGTCTTCCTGGCAACACTGCTTTATGTAACCTTAAACTGTACTCTGCTAGTTTTTATAAGCCAGCTTTTTCTGTGTTTTAATTTAATTAATTCGAAGAAACTTTCGTTTAGTTTATGTTGTTTTTTTCTTCACAGAATTTCCAAAATTCTAACAATTTCTTCAACTCAACTGTTGGTTCGCCTTCAATTCCGGTGCATTATTTTGTGTTACACATTGGTGAGAACTCTTTACAAAAAAACTTTATCAGTTGTTTTTATTACATTTTTATTTGACTATATCTGTATCTTTATATGTTTGATTAACTTTTGTTTATTTTCCTTTAATAATTTTCTCATCTGCAGCTATTGATTATTGTTTTAGTATGCTAATTTTGATTATTGTATATTAATATCGATGGCTTATTTTTAAAACCTTGGAAGTCCAATTCGCTAAAATATTAGTCTTGGAAGTAAAAAATATGTCCAGTCATATAGTTTAATAACTTGTGTGAAGTTTTTAACAATATCAGAGATTTTTCAACTTGGAAGAAGAAAATATCAAGATTTTTAGTTTTATCTCATAGAAACAGGATAAAAGTAACCGATCAAACAGGAAATTTGATCAGAGATCGAATATAAAATGTAAAACCCCTACAGTTTTTGTTTCCTTTTTTTAAAGTTTCTTTTATGGACTTTTTGGTGACAGGTTTTTGGTAGTAAGCTATTGATATTATTTTACATATACATGATTTGATGTTGGGGTAGGGGAATTTTTTTTAGTTACAACGGTAATTTTAAACAGTTTTGTTTTTTTTATTTATAGGATTGTATGTCTTTGAGATTTATATCAT